GGTATTGAAGGAACTAGATACTGTTCCGAAATATCACTTACTCGAACCGTCCTGACCGCGTAGCTCAGTTGGAAGAGCATTGGGCTAGTATTCCAAAGGTCGTAGGTTCGAATCCCACCGTGGCCTGGCATATTTTTCAAGCTCGCCCGGTGTGGATATGCACTCAGAGTAACATCGCAAACATATTATTCACCTGAGTACACACCAACACAGAAAAAAATTCATATTACAAGAACACATTAGTATTGAAGGAACTAGATACTGTTCCGAAATATCACTTACTCGAACCGTCCTGACCGCGTAGCTCAGTTGGAAGAGCGTTGGGCTAGTATTCCAAAGGTCGTAGGTTCGAATCCCACCGTGGCCGGGCATATTTTTCAAGCTCGCCCGGTGTGGATATGCACTCAGAGTAACATCGCAAACATATATTTTACTTTATCTTTCTAAAAAAACATTTCCTCGCGACGTTTTTAATCATGTTTATACTATCGTTTTTAATCGTGTTTAAACGTTCACTATTTAAAAGAGTGCTTTCTTTGCATGCAAGCATGTACGTTGTTGAGTGAATTATATATACTTTGTAAAGTAAGCCTGTTCTCCCAAACTTTCACGCGTGTTTCTAGTCTTTCTATAACTCTATAGAACACGGAAAATGTTTTCTATTTCTTAATTTTATATCATAATAATAATAATTTCAGGTTTAAAATTATAATAAGTTTAATATAATAAGTTTAGTTTTTAAAATTTACCGTCAAAATCGTTTGCAATTTGCGAACTTGCTTGCGAACTTGGTTCGGAATTTCATAACGAATTTTGATAATTTGATGCGAAACTTTCGAATTTGATTGGCCGGTTTCCAATCAACTTGATGATCTCGTGTTTATAGTTCCCAAATTCCCAACCAACTTCGCAATTGGCGTGGCCAAAGTTTCGTGAAATCAACTGTAAGTCTGAAGTTAAAAAAAGAAGAACATAGTGCACCAAAGCATGAATTCCACAGTGGCGCCGCCGAGGGGGGAGAGGGCGTTCCCCCATGTCAATGTTTTTCAGAGTCTATATATCCCATCAATTACGATTAAGTTATTTATCACGACTTATAGCTACATGGCATTTCTGAAACCTAAAATTCAAATATTTTCCGGAGGAGCATGCCCCTGGATGTTCACCCACCCCATTAATATTAGTGAGTTTGGCAACCAACAAAATGGCGACGGCAGAAACCACGATTACTTATACTTTTGTATTTGAGCGAAAACATACATTAGCCCTATTCACATTAGAGACGGACAAGTCGTCTAGACGAACAAATCGTCTCTCAAAAATCGTCTTCACAGACGGACAAGTAGTCGAACAAATTCAGACGACTTGTTCGTCTAAAATTTTGTACGACACGTTTTCACATCTGATGATTTGTCCGACTAAAAGACGATTTTGAGACGATTTGTTCGTCTAGACGACTTGTCCGTCTTTTAATGTGAAAACGGCTAATTACTAAACGTTTAAAAGCACTTGTTTGTCTTCTTTATTTTTAAATAACCCTGAAATTCCCTGAAGTAGCAATAGAAAGTGTATTCACATAAAACACCACAAAGGACTTGAAGGTTTTAGTCTGTTGGCGTACGTGCTCATGAGCCGTGAAAATGATGTAAATTATGTTCTAGCAGTTTGAACAACTACGGCGTATGCAAATTATAGTCGCCTTAGCTTCGTCTTAGAGTAAAGATGCTATTGTCAGGGGCGAAACTTGAGGGGGGTATGGGCGGATGGGTGACACCCCCCAAATACGAATCATCCCGATTGGCAGGGCAATCAAAATGCGAAAAATTCCAATAAATAAATGAATTATGAGTACAACTTTAAATGATAGAATATGTATACTTATTATAGCTAGCAAACAATAAGCAGTTCGTATGCATGCACATTGGCATCGCAGTTCAATTATACACGTAGCTTAGCGATGTATTGTATTAGCGCTGGCGCTGCAGGCTGCAGTGGTTTTGGGAGGGCAATTCTGCCTGACACCCCCCTAATTAAAAGGGGCTAGTTTCGGCCCTGGCTATTGTTGATGTCGTTGCCGTTGTATTTGCCAAACTCTCTATTCTCGTTGTCACTACGGAGCATAAATATATCATCCTTATAAAAGCTAATAATTAAAAATGTAGAATTTTGCGTTTCGAGACAACATGTATATACCATTTGCGTACTGGGCATTGTCCAAAGCACAAGAACCCGAATAAGGAAGGGTAAGGCAGCTGACCGCAAAACCAAGCATATATTGATTGTATTGATGCCAGTTTATTAAAATATAGACAACGTGGAGTCGTGGACAAAAATGTAATCCCAGATTTCCCCTAATAAGAAACAATACTGTCATTAACCCATTGCTGCCCGACTGACCTGACCATTTTTGCACAAATTGAGATTTTTTTCAGGCACTGGCATATATATTGCCAATGAAGGGAACTTCGTTGCATTTCGTTGTGACTAAAAATGTATGACTTTATATGCAGCAATACAGCATTTGGCCAACCAGTGGCGGCGCTAGACCTCTTTGAATTTTTGAATTGGGGGGGGGGGAGGGTGTAAATGAATTTTTCCGAGTTATCAGGTCACACACCAGTGCCTTTAGCGCCAGCCCTGCAGTGGCCGACCTTACCATTTTATTTACTCAACCTTAGTTACTGAAGCAAGTATACCTGAGCACATGCAGAGGTTTATTACTTCATACATTTCAGCTTTTTACAATATATATATATATATTTTATCGCGATTCACAGAATATTTTTCCATATACATTATAAAACCACGATTTACGAAGTAAAAAGTGAATATAACTAATCACCAGTACTAATCATAGACTGCAAGCAGGTCCCTAGCTCCTTACCACGGGTTTACATTCCCCACTCGCAGTCTATGCTAATCACGAATACCCTATAGTCATGCACGGGGCCAAGCGGGGAACCCACCGAACCGCTATGAATAGGTATGCGCTTTTTGCGCAGGAGACTAGGTAGGGGGAGTATTATAAGCCGGAAGTAAGCTCTTTAGGAAAGTGAAAGCTTCCGCGAACTCTCGCAATTTTTCTTGGAATATCCCATAAACTCCTTTGGTTCAAACATGCCTAATGCTAAGAAAAACAATAAATGGAAGCGAGCGTTCAAAGAAAAGTTTTCAGAACTCTCTCATAAATGGGAAATGGTCGTTGTTCAGAATGGCCAAAAACAAGATTCGGTCAAAGACGACATGAAGACATGTAAATTCAAATCGAAGACGAAATTTGAATGCCGCAAATGTAAGCACGCATGGACGTCATTGTTCGCAATGGTCGTATTTCAGTTTAAACTACGACGAAATGTACATGGCGAAGTAAAGATGCATTTGATTGGGCAACTGTGTAAGAAATGTTCCAGTGATGTATATGAAAGACCAATGTGGTCAGAGGAACAGATATCGGCGGCCATGGCAAGGCTACGACAGCGTGTCAATGAAGCGTATTACGGCGCAGAGAAACCGCGAAACCGTTCCAAGAAGAAAGAAAAAAACAATATGCGAGGGCCACATATCCAGGACCTGTGCGAAGCCTGTGCACTAGGAGTTTGCACACGAAGTTAACAATTGAAGAATGAATAACAATTACAACGACGCTTGTTTTTGACGTTTCATATCGTTAATATTTAGTTTGCATATTTATAATATTCGTATATTTTCATAGAGATTGCATGTATAATCGCAACGAGATGACGACACCAAAACAAATTGTAGTTTATTATCGGAATGGTATTGGAGTACCAATTGAAATGCAGGTGTTGTGTTGTGGTTCGCTGCAGTATAAAATATCGAGTCAACCCGCTATATATCCTTCATCATCGACAATAGTCTTGGAGGAGTCGTCACGTTATAGTCCCTCATATTTTCATATTTTGTTTCATGCACACGGCGGAAGTGAAAAATTTCAAAAAAGTGACTGTGAATAGCACATTGTGTATTAAATATATAACCACTGGCACAGCTGGAAGAATGACGAACCTAGTCTGTTTATAATTTGCAATAAGAAGTTAAATTCCATTAAATACAGTATATTGTAATCATTCACCAATATATCACATTTTGTTTTTCACCTGTGTCACTTCATACTGCATGGGTAACAGCCAGGATTGCAAGAAGAAGTTAAATTCCATTAGGCCAAATAAAAAAAATAGTTTGTTTCAGGTTTCACAGCTATGTTTTATATGGGTATAGGTAGGTCGGAAAAACGTTTTATTTAAAAACGTTTAAGAATTTATCTCAAGTATGCAATAAATATAAGTTAAAACTCATTATAAACTCTTATAGTTTTTATTGTTTTTACATGTGTTTCACGAGAAACATGTTGCAGTACATGCAAGCCGTTTGACATGTGTTTCGACATGTGTTTCATTTGTTGTTTTTTTTGTTGTTTTTCGTTTTTTTGTTTTGACATGTGTTTTGCAAGAAACAAGCGCATCAAGGCATTTTCATCTTTTTTCAGCCGTAGATCCCATGTCAGATACTGAGAATAATGTACGTTTTTAATATTTTATTCAACTGTTCTTTGTGTTAAACTACGATTTAACATGACTTGATAATTATTAAATTATAAGCAAACAAGAGAAAAATTGTAGACAAATGAGTCTGATGACTATTTATATATTCTGCTATTTACGAAAAGATGATCTCTACTGGGAAATGTGAATAAAATGTTTATGGTCGGTCATATTTTTGACAAGTCGGTCGGAAACCTGAAACCAACTATTATTTTTATTTGGCCTTAAAGTAACAATATATTGTAATCATTCACCGATATAATATTAATCACATTTTGTTTTTCACCTGTGTCACTTTATACTGGATGGGTAACGGCCAGGATTTCTACTTAAGTTGAGAAATATGGACGATACCCAACAAGGATGATCATCTGAACCATCCAAATCAACACAAAACCACAAGCCTTAATACACAAGACTTTTGGGTATAAACGATTAGGCCTGTTAGATGGTTCATATGATCATCCCTTACAAATCCTGGCTGTTACCCAGTATAAAGTGACACAGGTGGAAAACAAACTCGGATGTGATTAAAATATTATATTGGACCATTGGTGAATGATTAGAATCATACTTTAATTGAATTTAACTTCTTATTGCAAGTCAACTCCGTACTTTGTAAAGTAGATGAAATGTATATTTTGAAAGTCTTGCAAACTAAAAAACCCAATACAAAACTTAAAATTAAAATAACTGGAGAAAAACACGAATATACCTTTTGCTTCTGCTATGTTTTCTTTTGTAGTAAATTGTTTTCCATCCACCTTTCTATCGAGATCAATGCTATCATCCATTTCTTCACCAAGTCCTCAAATTTAAAGTCAAAGACAGCGAACTTCCCAACAAGCTACAGATATATATATCAAAATCATGTATCAATATTATATGTGTGCGTGCATATTTACCACATTTGAACTACGATTCGAACCTGCCTTTGTAAAATTACTAAAATATAACAAAAAATAGGTTTATTAAAATTTACTGAACCGCAACAAATAAATTATTTCTTAGCACAATTAATCTAATACGGTAATACCGTGGTACATGCAGGTTCTTGGTTAACTTGAAAAAGTCGTAAAACTTGCTACATGCAGCATTTTTCTATTGAACGCTGCATGTAATCTATAGTGGTCAAGCGTGCGTATAGATCATAGAAATAATAGACATGTCTATGTCTATTATTTCTATGGTATAGATAGATGGCGATTTAAAATAAGTTCTAAAAAACTTTTAAAAAAAAGTATGGAAATAATATACAATTTCTTTATGGTTTCCGTGTTTGGATGGCCTGATCCAAACACGCGGGATGTTGCGAGAGTTCGGAAAAGCGTGGATTTTGCGCGCTTTCAATCTTAACTCGAGCAACATTCCCAAGTGTTTGGATCAGGCCATCCAAACACGGAAAGCATAAAGTAATTGTTTTATAAAATAACAACAACACGATATAGTCTACTGAATTTCCGTGTTTGGATGGCCTGATCCAAACACGGGTTTCGACCAATCAGAGCACGCGTTATATACATGTTATTTTATAATAAATAATATATTAAAAGTAATTTTATAGTGTTTGTATAAATGTTACTTGAGCCCTACCTACGCCGCCAAAAACTGATTAGGGGTTACCCCCCAGAAAAAAATTAACTCACGATTCTTATGTTATTATTTGCCGATATTTTCTTATGGGTACTTTTATCAGCATATAGCTAGGTATTACGTACTGCCCCCAATTAAAGACGCATTTCACATATACCAACGGAATGAGATAATAAACAAAACTAGAAATGTGATATAGGCAGCGTTTACACTGTACCGTTTTCGTAGCGTTCTCGTATTGTTCTTAATCCTCAAGGGAACGCAAGACAATAGTCTAGTTCTCTCGAACAATACGAGAACGCTACGAAAACGGTACAGTGTAAACGCTGCCATATTAACGGCCATTAACCTTGAACGGTCTGCATGCCAGTGTAGGTAGTGCCAAATGGACGAAATGGTGTCGCAGAATATTAGAGTATTCTAGTATTCTACCAGAGGTATTCTACCCAAAAAATGCCATCATGGGGTCATGGAGCTCGAACGAGCTTAAAATATGTACATACTATATACAGAGATGTGTGTGGTGGATATATATATTAAGGGGGAGATCCGATCGAGGATCGAACATGTTCTTGTTGAAATTTTAGGACTACACCACTACATATACTATATTTATAATTATACAGACTATAGCTATTTCCGCTTACACGTTCAAAATTCCATGCAGACAAAGAAGGAATTTCCCAACGGAATTAAGCATGTCTCACAAACACTCTTTCTTTAACGTTAAGTTTAAAAATCCAATGAATTTTGGTCGACTTTTGCTATCGAGTATTGTACTGGGTTAGACTTAGAAGAGCAGATAGAATCCGAAATAGTTAAAATCATGGGAATTCGTTAATCTTGGTAAAATCATGGGAATTCGTTAATCGCTTTTTTATGAAAAACAAAACGGCTTGTGGGACGTAGCGACCGTGACCATGCACGGAATGTCGGAACGACAATTATCGTGTCTTGTGCTCGATTGCCAATCACAAACAGTATTCCCTGTAATACTGGACTTCGTCTTGATTCCAATTCCACTTCATAAATGTAAAAAAGTAAACGATGTAAACGTAAACGTAAACATGAATCGTATAAACTACGTACCTTAAAATATGTGCATCATGCTTTTCATTGTGAGTTATGTTTGATCATTAATACCGTTCTGCAGAAGACGATGTCAAGGCGTCCTTATATCATCTTTAACAATTATTAGTCCCAAGAACATTTCAGAATTTTGAATATATAGGTTTTTCGTTAATACCAACTCACATTACCACGCCACGAGCAGAGAAACTACCAGCACAACATAACACAGTCAACATACGGGATGCGAAAATGCTGTGGTGGTAGCTATAATTATCATTCTCATGCATAAAAGAGACAAGTGCGCTGGAACAATTGATTATAATGAAGGCGCGCTATTAGTTAATTGGTGATAAATATTATGCCCCTAATTCAACTGCTAGCCAAATATTTTAATAGTCAACTGGCTGGCGCTCGGGTTGACGAGGGCCGGTACTTCCTTCATTGATCAGTCATTAGTAAATCTTTTGTCTATCATCAACAATGCGGCGTAGGAACAAACAAGCTAAACTTATTTAAACCTTCGTACCAAACAGCATAAATGTTTAGTTCTTTTTAGATCTCATTACGATTTGCTTGATCAAGTGTGGTAATAGGCTAGTGATAAGAAAACAATACACACTAATGTCACTATTAAATTAGGCTTCGTTGTTTTTCATACATGCATGCTGCATTTGTAGGCATGTAGTAAAACACTGACTACCGGAACACCGGAACACCACCGGAACACCGGAACACCACCATTTTGTTTGGGGTTAGGGTTAGGATTAGGGTTTGGGGTTAGGGTTAGGGTTGGGGGTTAGGGTTGGGGGTAGGGTTAGGGTTAGGTGGTGTTCCGGTGGTGTTCCGGTGGTGTTCCGGTGCATTTGTATACTCGATCGCGATTTCATAGTAAATGGATGGACAACTTGAGCTAGCTCGTGTCTCACCGAGATTTCCAGACTGGAAAGTGTTCTTCCGTGTTTAAATATCTCAGAAAATAAATATCTTTAAATATCTCGGCTAGTTCTTAATTGCTGTTTTTCATATATACTGTATACTCCACTCGTGAATAGAATGACATCTTGACTCTTATATACGGCTAATTTGCGGGTCATTTACCAATTCGCAATTGTCAAATTGATAAAGACTAGCTCACTTAAAATTTCTAGATTTGAAAAGAGTCTATATAATGATTTGCAATTTCTAAAGCTTCAAAGCGGTAACTATTCAATTCCTTTGAACCTACTAGACTGGGAATGCGCGCGTTTGATAGTGAGATAATCTTTGTAAAATCGTGCAAATGGTGTCATAAGACATCAATTTCACATTCGATTCGGCAAAACAAATTTGTCGAAATATTTTATTTCAGGCAGAACTCGTCGCGGAAAAATTTCATTCAGGATTTCAGCGGAACAAACTCGTCGAATATCTCCGATTCGGTGAAGCTGAAACAAATTGGCAAGGTAAAAAATGCCGAATGTAAAATTGAATTATATGACAGTCCATTCACGCGCCAAAGTTTAAGATATATTTCTTCACATGCAGTTAATAGAATAGACGGTGTGGAAAATTCATTACAATAAAGCCCCGCACAGACGAGAAATTTTCCTTGACAATTTTTCCTTGACAAGTTTTATTTGCTCGTGTGCATGGCAAAAAATTGACAAGTTTTCGTTGACAAGGAGCTAGCCTGGTCCAAAACGTGGTCATGCCAACTTTTGAACCAGGAAAACTGTTCGTGTGTACTGTGTACGGCCGACCAGGAAAAATTGACAAGGAAATGCTTTGATTTGAAGATGCAGTATTAAAGTTTAATTCGTCTTCAGGCCTATATAGTAGATATGCATGAAGTATTTGGACGACACGGCAACATACAGGCTCGTAAAACTGGTCATGGAAAAATTGATCAAAAAATTGTTTGTCGTGCGCACGACGGCACGAGAAACTAATAAAGTTGACAAGAAACTCAGTGTCAAGGAAAAATTGCTCGTCTGTGCCGGGCTTAACAATATAAGTCATTATCGATGTTAGAAATGTTATATATAGTCAACTTTTATTCATAAATATGTTCCTTCATGCACTGTCACGTGTGTATTATATTTGCCAAATCCACCAATAGCAATTTCCAATTTAACCTATTCGAGTCACGGATAGGTAACTTTCCTAAAACATTGCTAGTATTGGTTAGGCGAGACTTTTTTATTTGTTGGTTTACGGATTTTACTTGAAAAAAACCCAGGTCGGTATAGGTCGGAAACTGAAAATTTAAAAAAACATTGTTTTTCAAGATTGTCACAACGATAACATGAGCCAGTATTGCAAAGTTTACTTGGCGTGTACTTCATGTCAGATCACCCCAAATTAACTAAAATTAACTAAAATCGTAAATTGTTGACATCCAAATTTTTTAATTTTTCACTTTCTGAATATTTAATACGGTCGGCGGATCCGTAAACCAATGAATAAAAAAAGTCTCGCCTTAGTTGGGCAAAAATACAATACGCACGTGAGTCGTGACGGTGAAGGACCAGATTTATGAATATAAACGTTTCGAAACGTTGACTTAGGGCCTGTTCATATGATCCCGCTTACCGGGACGTCCCACTTAATTACCGATGATCACGCCGCCTAGTTATTTTCCTACAAAATTTTGCATAGTGTTCATATGAGAAAGCGAGCTGGCCCGCTTGCCGAGATCTTGCTTGAATTTGCCGAGATCATAGGTAGGCGGGATGAAAATTTTTCCATTATGAACACGCCAGCCCGCTTCCCTGATGAAGTCAGACAAGTCTTGCCGTTTCTTTTAACACTTTTTACTTAGTTTTATGTTTGTTTTGTAAACAAGTATTAAATATGCACCTAAAGCAATACTTTTTCTTGTAAATAAACGAAGAAAAACACTAAAATCGCTAAATATTTGTGTTGCTTGACTGAAATGTAGAAGTTTTGCATACGCTAATTATAGAACTACATTGACGATTGTAATTTCATCTCGGCAAGCTGGACGAAATACTCCATATGAACGCACGGAAATATTTGTCTCAGTAGGCAAGACGTCTCGGTAAGCGGGATCATTTTTCATTGGCTCGATTTGACAATTGCTTTTGTGTTCAGAACAATGAATTGCTTCGTTCTTTAGAAAACTCCCATCCAATTGGAGACGACCTTCCGAGGCACTGCGAGGCTCCCCATCATATGAACAGCGCCTAACATTGATAATGATTATATAATTGTTATTCTAATGAGTTTCCACTGAAAAAATTATCATATGGATTGCGGTTTCAAGTACAGACGTTATAACCAATGTTTGATTATAGTTCATAGTAACAGAGGTTCGATTTTGTTCCAATTTTTATTGATATACAGTGTATATCATACACTGCATTAATACATTATTAATAATGCAATTGATTAAATACATTACCATTAACTGCATGGTAAGGCCTACATATGACGTTGCCTATACATTCAATCTTTCAGCTTAAGTTTACTGTACGTATTATTGCCTATCTTAATTGGTAAATGATATAAATAAAACTACAAATAGCCGTGCAATATCAAACATTATAAAGTGCCAAAATGTAAAATGAAATAAGAAGTTTCAAACGAATGTTGTTGGTCAGCGCAAACAGTCCCAACATGCTTTACGTGTCCACTGACCATTTGAAGAAGGGAGGTGGAAGACGCCAAGTTTGTTAGCTGAAAAACAATAGACAATAGTGTAATGATTACAAAGAAACTAATTTGAGGAATACAGGCATTGTTCCATCACCCAGTGAATGCAAAAGGCGAAATGCTATACTGAGCTGTAGGCTATATCATATCCTTAACTTTTAAAATTCCACACGGCCATTCCGCAAGCCATACTGCCATTCCACCTTTTGTATTCATCGAATCGCCGTCAACAAAACTGCATGTACCGTTTCACCCAAACCATTTGTGACAATTAACTTTACCAATCAGCTTAAAAGACTGTTTGCCATTTCAATCGTATCGTACCAAAACGTATAGCGTATTTCTTTGTTTTCTTAGCATGCAAAACCTGCTTTCCATATGGTCGTAATGGTCGTAAAAATAGAGTCACGACTTTCTCAAAGGCCAGTTTCAGTAATAGTTTATATATACCTGTAAACCACATATAAATCATGAGTAATTCTCTAGTTATTATCACTCCGCGTATTTTAAGTTCTATTAAAAATGTGGTATTTCGGCTGATGAGAAAGATCGTGACTCAACTTACGACACAACTAGAAAAATGCTACTCTACAGTACCTTACGAATCTACGATACGGTTGAAGTCGTCAAACAACATTAGGGAGTTTACGATCTACGACGCGGCTAGCCTGCATGGCAGGCGGTTCCTAAAATTGGGCAAGCCTGGGAAATTAGACCGCCTGCCATGCAGGCTACGACGCGGCGGGCTCGACGACGCGCTTTCAAAACAAAGAAATTTGGTGTTGCCACAAACAATAGTATTATATGTTTTATCGCCATGCAAACCTACAAAGAACTTACAAAAAAATTTGTCATGCAAGACAAAAACTGTCAATAATTCGTGGTCCCAGGGGTATTGACAACCGCGTTGTCATTCTCAACACAACGTTAAACAAGCATTATTACGTCTTTCAGTCAACGTGAAAGCTTAATGCGACACAAGAGGTGCTACTTAAAGTCGAAATTACAGCAAACATTGCATGCATCCCTTAGCCGAACGTAGCAGTTTGTAAGGTTATTTGAAAAAGCGTCAAATATTTATTACAATAATCAAATTGCTTACCGCTCATTCTTGAGCTGAAATAATTAGACCGCGTCGTTGAGCCTGCCGCGTCGCAGATCGTAAACGCCCTATTAAACTTTCGTAAACGCCCTATTAAACTTCTTTCTTTACAGTACAATTAACACTTTCCGAAATAATAACAACACCTTTTTGTGAAGATTATATAGTTATCAAGGATAACTGTCAACTTCTAGAAAATCAAGGACCATTGCTCATCACATCCTTACGGCTAGAAAATCAATAAGTATAGTTCTACCAACCTCCCCATTTCTCCCCATTCCCAATGTTGTGCTGTTTTCCAGGTTCAGGGTCTGATTCATGAGCATAATCAGCTTCAACAGTAATAACATTGTTCACAGGCAATGTTGCATTGGCTTCCTTCCACACATCTGGTAATATCGAATGCCATTTCCCTTCATTTGCTACTTCGAAATACTTCATGTAAGCCTTCTTATCGTTCCCAATACCATAAACTTTCTTGTTCGTGTCAATACCAATAATGTTAATAACAGACACATCAACAGCTTTCGAAAAGAACAACACAAAGTCAAAAGAATGATTTATACTGTAGATATTGCTAATGTTGGGCAACAATGCAAGCAATGCAACACTTGATAGATTCAACTTGATATGGATCCAGTTTGAGTGGTAGCCGAGGAAGGGTGCAGTATGGCCTGTTTGGGAGAGCTGCGGCAGTGTTAAGGCTTTGTCTTGATGAAAACAAACGCACTTAACAAATAGCGCTCCACGGTGACACATTAAAGTCGCTTTTGTACTTGAGGAGTTGAGGCCAGGGTTGAGAAATGCCTGCATTTTTAATATTTTTAAACTAACAGTAATATTTACTATCTAGGAAAAAACCCCAGCCTATCCATAAAATAAACGTATGTTTCCATATAATAGTTTTTCGCCTTGAACAAAAGCACGTGCACAAACGTGCACAGCTTCGTTTCTATCGAGCGTCTTTTCGGGCAGGGCCTGGGACCAGTTGTTCGAAAACCGATTAGCCCCCAGAACCTATATTGAAGCCGACTTCCCAACAGCTTATTTATAAATATTGAAATATTTCTTCAGAAATCTTGTCCGTACAGAAATACATAAACTGAAACAGCATGTTAAATGTTAACCGAGGGTTAGCGCTATAATCCAAGGTTCTAACCTTGCCAGAGCATTTCGGAAAATATGGTTGCCCATAAGCGGTCAGACAAGACCCAAACAGTTGCTGGGGCCTAAATGTTATTATTATCATTATTATTATCATTATTATTATTATTATTATTATTGTTATTGAGAGATTGCATCAGCAGAAGGAACCACACAAGGAGATCGTTTGGCAATGGCCTTTTATGCGATAAGTACCCCGCCTTTGATCACGAGTCTACAGGCCGCATCTACCGTGAAGCAGTGTTGGTTCGCAGACGATGCGAGTGGAGCTGGTCGTGTGACACAAATCAAAGATTGGTGGGATGCATTGAATACTCTTGGTCCAAACTTGGGATATTTTCCGAAAGATGAGATGCTGGATTATTGTTAAGCCCGAAAAGGAAGAAAGTGTGAGAGAAGTCTTCCATGGAACGGATATCAATGTAACAGTGCATGGACAGAAACATCTGGGAGCAGCGCTAGGTTCACGAGAGTATCTGGAGGAATATGTTAATGAGAAGGTCTCTAATTGGGTCAACGAAGTGACAGCATTAGCCGAATTTGCACTGTCCCAACCACAAGCGTCCTATGCCGCATACACATTTGGTTTGAAACATCGTTGGACCTACTTCCTAAGAACCCTGCCAGACATCCAGGACCTACTAGAGCCACTCGAAAAGGCAATATCGCAGATTCTCATCCCCGCTATCACAGATCACCAGTGCAATCCATGGCCATTCGATCGGGACATTCTAGCACTTCCAGCACGTCTGGGTGGCCTGGGCTTGGAAAATCCAAGTCATGAGGCAGAACGTCAGTATGTGTCGTCAAAGAGTGACAGCACCCCTTGTTGATCAGATTGTAGCGCAGTTACATCAGCTACCCGACGAGTCGCATATAAAATCAGCGCAACAAGCTTTTAGAAAAGAAAGAGTGCAAGAGTGGGAGGAGAGGGCAGAACGTATTAGAGAGAGTGCACCACCAAGAATTCAGCGTATATTAGATGTGGCTTCGGAAAAAGGATCATCTGTGTGGCTCACAGCACTTCCCCTAAAAGAACAGGGATTCAACTTGAATAAGAGAGAATTTCGGGACGCCGTAAAGCTGCGCTATGATTGGCCAATCGATGACATCCCCTCCATATGTGTATATATGTGGGGATACCTTCACGGTTGACCATGCCATGATCTGTAAACGTGGAGGCTTTGTAATTATGCACCACAATGAGTTAAGAAATCTGGAAGCGGAACTCCTCAACATTGTCTGTAGTGAAGTCCAAGTTGAGCCTGTCCTACAAGACATCTCGGGAGAGCAACTAAATGGAGGCTCCAACAGAGCACCTGATGCTAGACTCGACATTCGTGCGCGTGGGTTCTGGGAAAGTCAACGATCAGCCTTTTTTGATGTAAGGGTTTGTCATCCCAATGCTGATTCGTACAAGGACCTGGAGCTACGCCAAGTCTACAAGATACACGAAAACGAGAAGAAGCGCCTATATGCAAGGAGAGTCCTCGAAATAGAGCAAGGAACATTTACGCCACTCGTATTCACCACCACAGGCGGTATGGGCAAAGAATGTGTGAGATACCATAGTCGATTAGCAGAGTTGGTAGCCATAAAGAAAGGAGAAGATTATGCGACAACTATGAGTTGGATAAGAGCCAGAACCTCATTCGTTTTATTGAGATCGGCACTTACCTGCTTGAGGGGTTCAAGGGCAAGGAAAATCATGTATGATATTAGGAACATTGATTTTAACATTGAGAACGCCGAGAGTGCTATCTCTCAAACAATTTAGATTGTACAATATACAAAGTTTAATTGTTTAGTTATTTAGCGGAATATGTTAGTTTAGTTATTTAGCTACTTAGCGGTAAATATTTTAATTATGTAGTGGTATATGTTCCAGAGTTTGTTTTTAAAATTTAACTGTACATATCAACAAACATTTAGACACTTTTTTAATTATACCCAAAGAACAGATTATATAATATAGTCATTGATAACAAAAGCATTGTTGTATATAATGAAATGATGAATAAAGTTGTAATTATTATTATTAAAAATTATTATTATTATTATTATTAAAATTAATGGTTTCTCCCAAAAGGGATTTTATAAGGGTATTAGAACTGCCTGTAACTCTCTTGGAAAGCCTGCAAGAGGGCTGCATCCCCCACACCCTCAATGTAAGTTTGATTCGACAAATACTAATATTATGATATCAGGGGCGCAGCTAGACCGATAATTGGGGGGGGGGTGCATATTCATATATTTGTGTTCTGCCCGACGGATTTCTCTTGAAAGCGATTGTTTTTACGGTCTGTGAACATGAATATATGAATATACACCCCCCCCCCCCAATTATCGTGTCTAGCTGCGCCCCTGTATGAATATACCTTGCCAAGTTTCGCCTTTAGAGGTTGTCCAAAAACAGCTTGGTTTATCTCTAAAAATAGCACCAAATTTCGTTTTTGTTAGATATTTATCATTCAATGAACAAATGAAAAATATACTATGCGCTCATTTTGTCTGTAATTACCTTTTCGATGAAACAGAACAAATATACACTGTCACAGGTGAACTTGAGTTGTCAACCAAATATCCACGATTATAAAACTCTATTGAAAAAAATATATGTGTATAACATTTTACTAATTCAATAACTCTTTCGTTCAACAACCTCGCGCGCAAGTCGGCGAGGTTGTTCGTAATTCAATTTGGTCTAATAATTACTTTATACTTGAGTTAATATGATTTTTATCTTCAAAATTTGAGGAATTTGAGGATGTTACACGGTGGCGAGAAGATATGCATGAATATTATTTTCGAGTGGTGAAAACAATATTTTACGAACGAGCGCAGCGAGTGAGTAAAATATTGTTTTTGCGCTCGTTCGTAAAATATTGTTTTTAACACGAGAAAATAATGAAAACAAAAATGAAAAGAAACTCAATAATAACAGATTTTATTTGGCAACCACATGAAACTTGTAGGCCTATAATTACAGAATTAAAAAACGCAAGTTATAAAGAAAGTTGATAACAATTAAAGCAACGATTTTTTAATTATTATAATTAATAAACGATGTCTCTGCATCAAGTCTCGATAATTTTAATAACTTGATAAAAACAAGTTGATAAAATTTTAAACTAAACAAAGTGGGAAAACTCGCGAGTGTCGCGCGAGGAAACACACGCACGCGTCACATATTTGTTTTCATATTTCACTTGTGAAAAATGGAAAATATGAGTGTTTTATTATATGAGTGTCAAATATGAGTGTTTTATTATATGAGTGTCCATATAATAAATAACAATATGAGGACAAATATCAATATATGTTTCAAGTCTTACCAGGAGCGGTATTTTCTGATACATTCATGGGTCTTGCAGTAGTTGGCTCTATCGTAGTCGTAGACTCTATAGGAGATAAGAATTTTTAATTATTTTTGTTTTATTCCGATTACGGACCTGTCATTATTTATGGAAGAGGGAGGGGAATTTTTCTTTCCTAAATTTTTAAAATGGAATGCCCCCCTTAAAAGAGCAGAAATTTAATGGTGACCCCCTACATATTATAATATTTTTCTATGACACCCCCATTTTCATTTTTACTCGTCAAATGGAGATTCTCAGGCGTTATGGTGTTAATTATTAAATATGAATATGGAACTGATAAGATATTAACGTACTGAAATGCCACTTTCAAATTGTTTCTTATTAATAAATTATATTATAATTAAAAGAGGAGTATTTTTATATATAACACTAAAATCATGCAGGTTCCCATTTGGTCTGGCTGATTGTAACCATGTCAAGATAGCTGATGTAGTAACACATTGTCAATTTATCTCTGCAATCAGTAAAAGACTGATTTGCAAACAGCACACAAAAGACTAGATATATCCAGACTATTTCAAATCAATGACAATGATTTAGTCGCACAAACAAATGGATACCAGGCTTATTAAACAAATTCCTTCAAATTTAATTACACTCCCCCCCCCCTATTTTCTTGAAAAAATTTAATAGCCCCTCTTCTAGTAACGTATTTATACATATGCCCCCCCTTATTATCGCTCCCCTCCCCCTTCCATAAATAATGACCGGTCCCTTAGTTGTTTATATATTCATTTTATTGCAATTGATTATGGAAAGATTCAAATGCAAATTCTCTTTTCGAAATGCAAATTCTCCCTGCCAAAGGACGTTCTTCACTCGTGAAACCAATGGCAATAAAAATCTGAAGCTGGGTCCTGTATACCTGTATCTGGAACTGAAAAGGCAACGAACATTGGGAACAAAGGTTCAAAATATGTTTGCTTGTTTTTGTATGTTAAAGCCACGGGTGTGACAGCATAGTTCCTGCCAGGTTTTGTTCTGACTTTGTCCGGATCCATAGCAACAGAGAATGATACGTTTGGTTTCTCTCCAAAGCACAGCTTGCTTAACTGAAACATACAGGAAGAAATTAAGCAATTGAAAAATCAATAGCTGCATATGTCACCCTAGTCTACATTGCTGCGTTGGAATATTACTGATATCCTTAATCCTCGATTATATCTATGACTGACTGTTGACAATTTAATACAGCGTTCCAAACTCATAATGTACTAATTTCTTGATTCGTTCTACGAAATATTCAAACAAAAACTAGAGCTGCAGTCACGCATAAAAAAACGTTCGGAATTGTAACTTATAGCCGTTCAGTTTGGTAGTCAGTTTCAGTCCGTTTCATTAAATCAGTGTGCACCCCATCAAATTGAACTCATGCACTTGAACCGCGTTCAACGTTCTTGGCGTACATATAATTATAAAAGGCCTGATTCCACGACGGCGAAATTCTGCGCGAGAAATTGTGTCTGCGAAATACGGATGGTTGCACGTGAGTGATTCTTTTGAATTATCCCACTTTTTCCGCTTTCGCAGGAAGTAGAATTGACTTCTACTCACTTGCATGTGAAGCAAAATGTTTTTCCCGCAAAGCCTAATTTATCTTTACTGCGCCTGCACCTAATTCATTTTGCGCGATATTTTTCGCATTTCGCCGCGGAAGAAACCGCCCACGAGTGTAATTAATCACGCGCCATTCGTCCCGCGCGGACAAAGCGACCGTATATAATGAAAAACGGCCTGTACACTGCAAGCAAAAATCGGGCGGAGAAGAGACGTGCGGAGCAGATTCATTATTTAAACATTAAAATAATGCTGAAGAGTAAAAAGTTGCATTACCGTAAACATAACATTATCTCCTAACTTGGTGAATGCTAACTGGTGTGAATTTTTGTTGACTTTGAGAAACTTGGTGTACGCTGGCAACATCCATACCACTTCCACATCCATAGCATGAGCATCAGAGTTGTCTTTATGGGAAATTGTGAAGGTGTACTCCACAACTGAACTGAAAAAAAAACAGAATTAATCATGCAACTTAGTCATGTCTTGTCTTTGCTTGTCTTGGAAGACTTGGCAATAAAAAAATAGTTTAGTTCATTTGAAAGAACTCTTAAAACTATATATTGAACTCTATTACAAATGTTAATGACATTTATATCTTGCTTAGTTTTCAAAATATTTCGACTGAAGAAAGTGAGCTGTTCTCCAACTTGGATTATTGATGATATGCATTTTGCGTCAAGGTCGTAGCTAAAATGAATGGACTAGAGGCACTTTTTCAAGATAGTCGCCAGAAAGAATCAACAACCAACCACTTGCAACAATACTAAACCTTGCCTTCACCCCACACCTAATCCTAACCCCCACACTAATACTAACGCAAACTCTTATTTCAATTTTGGAACTACCTCTCGTCCATCCCTTTTAGACATTACCGTTACGTCAAGAAAGGGGTAACGCTAATTTTTTATCGTGAGAGTAAGCGATCAATATGGGTCCAAAACTTCGTTTCGTTTCAAAAACATTTCAAACAATTTTGGATTGTTACTCGGTCATTTTATGTATTTTTATATGGTTAACCCTCATGGGTTAACCCAACTCCTTACGTAGTCAAGAATTAGTTCAAGATGGCGGACAACTCATTAATTCTGGTCTAAAAATTTCAAGAACTATAGCAAGATATGACAAATCGGTAATAGATTTTAATTTAAGAGTTCTTTTGAATGAGACAAACTATTTTTTAATGCCAATGTCCTTTAAGGTTACTTCACACGATGAACGTGCGTTTTAGTCTATTGGACTTTGCGAAACGAATTTTAGGTGTAACTTTACCAAATTTTCAGTGAAGAAGGCCAGGAAAATGCTGATTTCGAACATTTTCATTTGATGGGTGTTCAGTGAAACATTTTCAGTATTGGCTGACTGAATAAATACATAGGTATACCTTCGTAAAAAATATGTTTATAGTTTACCTCAACGTTTGTCTAGGCATCGGCAATTCGAATCTTCATAGACACGGTAAAAAAAACGTGTGCGGAAAATTTCTCTTCTTTAGTGGTCTTTCCGATATGCCCTGATTCTTGGATTTGTCACTGATAATTCACGAAGTTGTCAATAAAAACGTCATATCAGAAAAACCATCGAAGAAGAGAAATTTTCCGCACACGTTTTTTTTTACTGTATACCTATGAAGATTCAAATCGAGATATGTAGACAAACGTTGAGGCAAATTAAACTATAAACATATTTTGATTTTTTATGGGATACCTAAATATTTCTTCAGTCGGCCAATACTGGACATGTTTAAACAGAACACCCATCAAATTAAGATTTTCGAAATCAGCATTTTCTTGGCTTTAATTTCTTCACTAAACATTTGGTAAAGTTACACCTAAAATTGGTTGGGCCATGTTCAATAGACTAAAACGCACGTTCATCATGTGAAGTATAAACCTTAAGCAAAATCACCTTCAAACATATGAAAAATTATCTGATATAAATTCTGCATGATACGGCAGAGAACAACCAAAATCCATGAATGGTACCTTCGAGTTGCTCGATAATTCACTATGGAAATCGGTGGTCTGTCAACGGGTTTTGGATCAGTTATCTATAATTTTACTAATTAAATTAATTAATACGCGACTTTTTGCGGCAACAGTCCATGCTGTTTTAGTAAGGTAAGTTTCTTTAAACAAATAACATTATATGCTATAAATAAATATATACACTTTAGAAATAACATAGAAATTTTGAATACTAACCCTTGAACTAAGCTATCACTACCATTTGACAATGCAATAGTCTGAAGTCTTGGTCGGCGGTTGAGTGGAACGTTAGCAGTAAAATCCAGTCGACCGATCCACACTGTTTCTTCACTGCTTTTCATTCCAATGTTAATTGAGTAGTTCGTGAAATCTTCTACGTAGACATTGTCCTCCAAAACAACTTTGAATGTTAAGGTCATTGTATTATCCACATCATTATCGGTCGCAACGTTTGAATTGTTCACATTTCTAATGAGACCTAGATCAATCTCAACACTATCATAGTACGTTGTGTCACTAGTTGTTGAATTATAAGTTGCCTTGGCATTAGGGAAGTTGGAAGCTTCGATGTTTGCTCCATAAGATCTGGTTGTGAAGGATTGACTCTTTACAAACCGCATAATAGCTGAATTATTTCGTTGAGGAAGATAAACCTTGTCAAATAATATGCATTGTAAAAATAAGATTGACACTGTTCTTTCAGTCTCAGAAAATAAATGCCGAATAATAATTTACTGAATTAATAGTTTCTAGCACTTAAAGATATTGCAGATTACGGTGTTGTTAGGTCCAGGCTGCCCCAGTCCCAAACCGCATTATGTTGCCAGCAAGCATAGCCCGAGCACAGAGCAAGCTACAACAAGTATTAAAAGGTTTACTTAGTGGGTTCCCTGTAGCATGCGCAAAACAAGTACACCACAAATGACAAAGACATACTACTTTGGAATAAAGATCAAGAATTACGATTACAACAATTTTACACTCACAAATAAATTTCCATATAGCGTCATCCTTCTAATTGTGATGTTGAGCGTTACTTCAATAAGTTGTCCAATATTGATACTCATGTTGGAAGGATCTGCTGACAGAGAGAACGAAGGGACTCCTGCAAGGTAGCCTGGATCAGGTTTGTATGTTTTGATTGGACGATCTTCACTTTTGCTGGTCTGGTAACGAATCTTGATCGCAACATTCAAGTCAGCCAATGGTGTAACAGTTTCACTGACCTTTACCACTAATATTCCACCCATTGTATTGTCTATGAGAAAAAAACAACACATTTGACATTAGTACAACTTTATATACCATTGATTAATATAACCATTTTCATGGCTGATGTGTGAAAAATAACTTTTCCAACAATACTCAAATATATACTATTCCTTATTTCATCTCACGACATTATTCCATTTATTACATTCATAAATTTTTACAAATAAAACAAGCTCATTCGCATTGCTTAACTATTTGAGAATAATAAATGTACATAATCTAGCTATATAGTCATTAATTCAATCTATGAATTAATTAATAATTAACATTCCTGAATAGACTTATTTTGTGATTTTGATTTTCAATCTTTCATGCAGGGGGTCAACAAATAAATATTATTTAAATTGGTTTATGTTTGTGGGAACACTACGTCTACGACATGTTTGTTTGGTAATTAACTTAAACCCTTTGACTTAAGTGCTTCGTGCAGGAGAATTCGTCCGAAACGTTTAACCGAGTAGAAGTGTTGCAGTATTGTTCTCTTTTACGCTAAAGATGACGGGAATTTTTACCAAGGTTTTTATTTCAAGGAAATAAATAACTCAATTGGATAAGCTGCACACATACCTTTCGGCAAATTGTTGTTAGCCGGTGTGAATGTGAGAACTGATCCTCCACTTCCGTTTGTTTCTTTTCTACTACTATTCCCAAGCCAGCTTGCGCTACTGACCAAATTAACAACCGATGTTGGAAAATAAAATAGCACTGTCACATTCTCGGCGGTTTCATACGAACCATTTCCATGCTTGACTTTCCATGAAAATTGTACTTGATCGTTTATAAAATATTCTTTAATTAGTGGATCTGTGTTGTTGAGGGCTTCAATTTCGGCATATAAAAAAGGCTCATCCTGGATGTAAGAGACAAAAGGAAAATATAGTGAACTGCGCGCATAAACCAAATCACCAATTAATTGAAGAAAGCGTCGCCCAATCAACTTCTCTTCGCTACCAATTTCGTGCATAATAAATGAACGTTTCCTAACATGCTAGTCATGCAACTGTATCTGAACAAAGAATCAAATTCTTGTGAAAGCGCTATATTATGTCATATTGTACCTTAAAAATCTGTATAAAATCTTGTGTCACACCAAGCATATTACTTCCAGCATGGGAGCCAACGCCAATCCAATGTATTGAACTATTCTCAAGCATGTAATGGTCATTCACTTTTACCGAGAAGGAAAGTTTAATTGTGTTGGCATTTTGATCTTTCTTTGAAATCTGAGTTATAAATCGAAAAATAAATCCAGAATACTCTCTTTTAATGTCACTGATATATTTATATAGAATATGCTTCCAAATTTCATTCGTTTCTTATATATCCCTTGTTTTGCGCGTCACTCATCCCACTTTTCTAAGTTTTCTAATAACCACACCAGTGGTGGACACTAACGATGAACTGGGAGATCTTAGTCCATTAAATCATCTCTTAGAGCTTTGAACGGATAGACGATTAACTTATTAACTATGATTAAGTGATTAAACACTACAAAAGCGTGATTATCTATTTAGAGATAAAAAGTTTAAGCTATAACAGTTTTAAGGGCTCAGTAAATTTAGTAGTAATATGGGGGTGGTAATGTTGGGATATTTATTCAAAACCCATATGACGTCATACTTTTACAATGAGATTTAACATACTCAATGAAGATTTTACACTATTTGAACGATATTAAACGTACGAATCAGCCATGGGATAAAAAAGAAATATTAATAACGCAAAAGAAATGTGTTTACCTTGATATTCCCGAAGTCCAAAACTACTCGACTGGAGATGTTATTGTCTGCTCCAGTGTATATCATTGGTTTGGGATCTGGATTCTGAGCCTGCACTGAGCTGCTGATTTTACCAACTAGTTGAACATTCTCAATACTCAGAAAACGAAAGTCGCTCATGATCGTAGTAATCACGAGCATGAATGCAAAATCGAAATCTGGCAAAGTCACATTTACTTTGTAATCCAAGGTCGTTTCAACTTCTACAACTATAAAAATGTATTTATTTTAATAATATATTAAATATATGTTATTTACTAGCTGCGAGATCTGTACCCCAGATCTCACAAGTGGCCGAAGGCCGAGGGACGCTTCTGAGGCCAAGGGAAAATGGGTTTTTTTCAATACGGACCGACCTAAACGGTAAATAACATGTTTATTGTTCGTTGTTAATGAAATTACAATAAAATTCCAGTAACGCGAAGTATATTTAAAATCAGTTGCGTTCGTTGCTTTAGAACAAGCATGGCCAGAAAACTGCCAAAACGACGAAATAAAAACGTGATAAAAAAACTTTTAGCAATAGATGCTTTTCAACAGACATTTTCGCCATCGTTTTACAGTATGAACATGCATGGGATCTTAACTCGTGTATACTAACACATCTGATACGGTTGCATCTGATAAAACATGACTCGAACATTCTCCTGAATGAAAGTCAGAACCCTCCCAATATCATCCGTAACCACGCCTTGTCTCGCATGGAAGAGATAATACTACTCAAGAGGGGAACATATCCCCCCTCTCAAAATTTCCCCTAAATGCCCTTTCCTAGATAAAATGATGAGAAAAGTTTCCTTTTTAGGTAAAAAAGGGTGCTTCTTCAACTTTGCATTGTTTCCTACGTCTCTGAAATAGATTATATATTACCTCCTTTAGTGGTACGTGCAAACGTGATGACAGGATAGGATGTATACAGTTCAGGGGAATATTTGGGACCATACGTTACAGGGCCTGACGCGGTCGCATTCATAGTGAAAGCAACTTGGAGTAGAGCCAATGGATTGGATGTTGCTCGAACACTTCCATTGAATTTTATTTCCATATAGTCAGTAGTGTTCATCGTGAACTGCACTGTACTAGTATTGTGGTGGATGGTATTTCCGAGATATTGAAAGGCATTAGAAATATTCACTGAATATCCAGATAGCACAAGGTTCTCAGAACTTAATTGAATGCTTATTGAGCTCAGCTTATGAGGAGAAGCACTCTGATTTTGAGTCAAATACAGGCGGTAGTTAATAGTTGAATTAGCATCAAAGAATGTTTCGTTGGTTTCAGCTTCAAACGTTGATACCAAAGCATCATACTATATGTATGTAAAGAATTTTAGAATTAGACAAATGAAATGAAATGAGTACATGCAAAATGAAAATACATCTGTGATGCCTCGTATGGTCATCCGTATGCATTGAATTTACTTTTCAAGTAAATTAATAAATTAAACATTGAATAATTGTTCTAGGTAAGATGTCCACATGACTAATATCACCATTAGCATAGTGAAAAAAATTTTGTAGTGGGGTGATATGAGCACAGCGATATCAAGTAGGATTACAGGTATAATGTTTTCAGAGGAAATTTATATACATTTATTAGACCTAACCAGGAACAGCTGCGAAAAATGCAACTTTAGTCAGATGCAATTCAGCTTCTGGCTGCAATGTGGTTTCAATTTAATAATAATAATAATAATAATAATAAACCACAAGTCCATGTATATATACTGGGGTACTGCCATGTTAGGGTATGGGTAAATATTAAGATTTTGTTGGCACCTCGCCCGTTTGAATAATAGTTGAAGTGAATTGCAGATGGAAATTATCGAGTGGAAGTTTATATATGTATATAATATAATAATTTCCACCTACTAGACCCTTCAACTAATATTCAAACAAGTGAGATACCAACACAATCTTATTCAAACAAGTGAGATACCAACACAATCTTAATAATATATTTTCTGTTCTGTTCTGTTCTGTTCTGTTCTGTTCTGTTCTGTTCTGTTCTGTTCTGTTCTGCTCTGTTCTGTTCTGTTCTGTTCGCCTCAGCTCCTCCTCCGCAGTCTGCACGGGGCTGATGCTTTCGGTCGGGAGAAGGGGGGCAGTTGAAAGGTTGCCCGAATGTTTATGCATTTAACACATAAGCTGGTAAATTTGCCCGAATAGACAAATTTGTCTTGGTACTGACAAGTTAACAACGCTGGAAGATTAGAAACACTGACCATATGCATGCACACTTTAACTTACTGATACACTTCTACGTGCACGGTGGTGAAGTGATCGACGTTCTCTCCCGCCATTGTCGTAATTTTGAACACTAGTTATAACAGCAGTAGCCATTGCTTTGTTACTTTGATTCTCTTCAACCGTGTTTAGATCTCCTTCATTCTTTGCCAGGATGGTGAGAGAAATTGGATCATATTGACCATACAGCTTCCTGGTCAGACTTATAACCCCGCTGTCTGGGTTAATATAGAACAATCCATCTTCATTTCCCTTCTTGATAGAATACTTGACACGACCACAGGGACAATTATGTTTATCAACACATGTCTCCAGATCATAATCAAATGCAGAAACGTTGAGGATTTCATCACCAACATTGGTATTTTCCTCTATCTCAGCAACATATAGTGATTGTTTAAATTCTGGCTGGCGGTTATCTGCAGAAAATTAAATCTTTGGTGTTTTAATGATAACGAAGGGAAAAAACGATCACCCAAAGGTGTTAGTAAGATATCCTACTGGGTAACATTCAAAATTAGTGCATCATAAGGGGTTCCAAATTATTTATATCCTAAGAAAATTATGAAGGAAGTTCAAGGAATCCAGGAATCTTGTTATTCCTAATACCTGTATTGTCTCGTTAATTATTGTTATTGTATATGTTTATAGTTATGTATTTGTTTAAAGGTCCCACAGTAACTGGTGTATGCTGTTGTGGTGACCCTGCCATTAACTTAATGGCAAAGTTAATAAAATAAATAAATATTCTGATATGGTCATGATGAAATGACTATACTGGTCTTGCCTCTTGGTACATTCTAAACAATTTATTTTATATCTAGCACCCATACACATTTATTCGTTGGAAAGGTTTCATCCTAAGAATGTAATGTCTACTTCTATATAGTATAATCTATAGTATAAATTCTTCAAGTGAACGTACGGTATTTTGAGCATGTTTCACCAGTCCAACAATCACGACAAATACATCCCTTTTGTTTATCACAAGCACCATTATGACAGTTGATGTGTTTTTCTCTAAAGGTTACAGATTGTCATTTAAATATACCAATAGCTAGTTTTTTTGTTATTAAAAACTAAAAGACGTTTTCATAAAAGACGTTTTCAATTAAGGACTTTGGTGGCGCAGTCGTCAGGGCAAGCGCCTTTCCCCTCTGAGATCGTGGGTCCGATTCTCACCACGGACTCATGTGAAAAGAGTCAGTCAACGCTCTGCCGAAAGTCGTAGGTTTTCTCCTGGTGTTCCGGTTTCCTCCCACAGAGAAAAGTTGACAGGGTGGGTTAGGATAACAAAGTAATATCACAATTGTTGTAAACAAAAAGTAGTCTAGGCTAAGTAAGTAATTGAGTAAGCGTCAAGACCACCTCATCCTTCTTAGGTCAGTCCTAGCGATCTTTAGCGAAGTCGACCCGAGTTTTAACTTAATGACGTCACAATGTTGATATGAAAAAATCATATTCAATGTTATGACGTCATGCTGTGGAAATACGAATATGAAATGTAGAAACACAATTAAAAAACATACTTGCACTATAGGTTAAAGGAAAATCTTTTGAATTATAAAGACGAAATATCAACGAAAACAGCCACGAAAGGTTTTGAAACATCTTAACGTACTTACAAAAGAAAAAAGGAAAGATTTTCTACAAATGGGAAAAATTAGAGATCTGGTCATTATTTTCACAGATTGAACCCACAGCTGCAGATGTCTTTTTCATCTTTTGAATAAATAATAAAACATTATCAAATTCGCTTGTCGCAAGATTTGAAGCAGGGCCTTTTTTAACTATATATAACTGGGGGGAGTCCAAGCCCCCCCCCCCCACTCAACCATTTTGCCCCCCCCCCCAGTCAAAATTCCTTTTCTCTAAAATATAAGCAAAACATGGAATTTAGAAGGGAGGTTTGATATTCTAGTAACCGAAATTTGCTTTGTGAATCTTATGTCCTGTCTTTTATCTTTAAATTAAATGTCTTTTTAGAAATGCTAAACATTAATTGTGTTGTAAATTCCTTAGATTTTAAACATTTTCCACTCATGACCCCAAAGATTTGAGTTGTTGGAAGGCTCGGCTAAACAACTAGTGACCACAGGGGCGTAGGAGGCAGGAGGCCGCGGGCCCCCAACCTAATATTTTAAGGGGGGGGGGGGAATATTGCAACGAAATATTTGAATTCGAAACAAGAAGTTTTTGAGTATACAGTATATATTAGATAGCTTAAGATATACGACGTCGTCGACGTCAGCTAGGACGTCAGGGCTAAGCAGAGGACTGGGACTACATTAGGACGACATCCTAGTCCCAGTCCTCTGCATAGCCCTGACGTCCTAGCTGACGTCGACGTCGTACTCGTAGATCTTAAGCTATCTATTAATTAAATATCTGTGATCGATATTTCAGTAACAACATTTTTCGTAATAATCCATCCTGACTCCTCACGGACAGCATAGAATCATAAATCATAATAAAAGAATTAATGAAAGGCCTAACGAAAGAGGTAGAGAAGACTCTAAAAATGCCATTTCCGACGATTTAGAGACTCAAAATTTTCCCACTCGGCGCCAACCGTACGCCTCGTGAGAGTCCCCCCCCCCCCCTAAGTTTGGCGCCTCGTGGGGGTCGGCCAGTCGGGTCCCCTTAGCTTCCTACCTCCTGAGTGACCGAGTTGTGGTATTTACGTAAATATACCATGCAAGTACTTAACTGAAGATTCAGTCTATCTACAGCATAATGTAACGCTGCATGTATATCAGAAAAACTGTGTATCAGAAAATTAACGCACGAACTGCAGTCCTATATATAGGGGACTTAGGGGTAGAAAAATACCAAAAGACTCCCCTATTATTATATACGATACCACACCAAACTTTTTGTCACCAACAATCATCTGTTATCTCTCCACACTCAGTATAGTATGATCCCTTTTTGTAGGTGCCCCCTCTCCCACGGACGAACTCTTAAAAAGGCCCTGATATGAAGAATTATTACCCTCAGTATGTATTATCGCACACATGAAAACATCTGAATAAATATTTTATAACACCACTTAAGATCAGCAGGAAATCGTGTTTCAGAGACACAAGAACATTTTCTGACGATTCATGCCCCCATTGCTAATTCCCTTAAACAGCTCGCCTCCACAGGTATATAACCCTGGTTAACAGGACGAGCTTAAGAACCTTTTCAGCTGGGACCTCCTCAGTTGATTGAGTTGAGAACATTAACTGAAGCGACCGCAGCTGCCGTGCCAGTAAACGGTGCAAAAAGTAAAAGAAAAAAATACATTTACTTACTCACTACAGAACACATCACATTTATCACAAAGTTGTCCTTCATTACTTGATGTTGAAAACATGGCCAAAAATCGTCTATAAAGACTTGAAACACTGACTCCATTTTGACTGACATAACGACAATTGCAATCATGAAGACCACAAACGTATTTATGTTCGAATTTACATTCTTTGCCAGCTGTAAGCAACAAGAAATTTTTTTATCAAATTCGGAAGAAACTGAAGAAAAAATCAAATTTTCTCGTGTTATACCATTGCAATGATTTATATGCTATTTCTTTCTACTTCAAATAATATTATAATTTGATTATATTTAAAATTCGGCAAATAATTTTGAGATACATATTACCCTGTACCAAAACAGGTTTTAGATTTCTGTCTGAAGGTTTACTGTGTGTCTATATAATATTATACGTACACGTGGCAGCTTTATTTTATAGCAAACGTTTGCATGGTTCTGTATTCAATTGTTCTGTGCTTCTATAAGCTAGCGCATTATTAGTTTCAGGGTCGGAACTACCCCAAAGAAAAGTCAAGAAAGGGGGCCCAACTTCCCTAGAGGGGGCCCCGGAATGCTGGAATTGCGGAACGTGTTAAATATTAAAGAATATTCTGAAAAATTGAGGTCGAAAAAGGTCTGAAAAAGTATTTTTAACCTCCCATTATTCCAAAATAATGTTTGGAAACATTTTTGTAGGGCATTTTTTAACTATATATAACTACTGGGGCATTTTCCCCAGTGGGCCCTTTGCTTGCCCCAGTAGTGAAGCAAATATTTTCAGATGAGCTGGGCCCTTTTGATCATTAGTACAAAGTCATCCATGTTGAAAAAGTTGCATCTACCTGCTTTCTCATATCCTCTCACATTGTCGACATTCCAAGTCTGCACAGCATGGTCTTTATTTACGCATATAACTGTGTGAGGAAAAGCTTAGTTTATTCCTCAAGAGTATGTACGGGACAGATCCTTCGGGGGTGTCACTCGAAAGTTTGCCCAAATTTTTAAGGAGAATTGGAATAAAATATCCTGCATCAATTTAACACATTTTACTGATAATAAATTTGTTTAACCCATCTCCCATCTTTGCCTGAATTTCCATGGTTTTCTACATGTTGAGGGTTGCCCCCTTATCCCTGTCTTTTACATGGCCACAATTGAAATGGGGAGTTAATGACGCTTTGCGGCCTTTGTGAGTCTTTCCTGATAATTGTTTCCCTTCGTTAATAGTTTGTCTGCCAAAATTATCAAAATTAATGAAGCTTTTTTCAACACAGACAACAGTTAAGTCGGTCTTCCTATAGATAGTGTTACCCTGCTTAATTTTGTTTGCCACTACTCACTATAGTTGTTTCAAAATGTTATATGCAGTAACAAATGCATGTATTTCTTTTACTCGATTCCATGCAAGACTAGGTTTCATTTTTGAGAATGCATGACAATACAAAGTCAACTCGTTTCCGCATGTCTTCCATCTGTCAAAACTAGCGTTTTGTATATACGACCATACTTTCAAGCAGTTTGGCTTCATGTAAGTAGTTTCAGTTAAATGAGGAGCCTTTGGGGCACTCTTTCATTTTCTGAAGAAATGTCTTTTAAAGAACCTTGACTTAGAAATATACTTAGAGTGACACATTTGTTTGCTTAAACAAACGATCTGATCATTATTTATAAATTAATGTTAGCATATATATATAGACACATCATGCTGATCTAATAGTGTTCGTGGTAGCGGTTTTAGTGCTGTTCTGGTTGTAACACCTCGTCACGGAACAGGATGAATTCGGAACCGCGCTCAGACTCACAAAACCAGACGAATTAAGACGATTTATATAGAACACAGTGGTTTGTACGATTGGTACGAAATATTACGAATTGTATACCCGTGTCACAACAAGTGGGACCAGACGAACGCTTCCCAATGTTCCGCGGTCTAGTGTACACAAGAATAGTTTCAATCGTCCTAGAAAGTAGTATACCGCGAACTGAAATAGTGAAATATGTCTACTGTGATGGACAAACGTAGCCAAATGACCAAAATATCAGTCAACTGTAAGAACTAGAAAAATTGATCACAATTCTGGATCACGAAAGTACTAGTTCACCCAAAACATCTTTCCAATTTTTGCGATCGGGTAGTTGGGACATAGTTTGACACCGAAAAAAGAAACATTCGCTTACAAACACATCTCGAGCAAAACTGCAAAACAAAATAATTTACTGCTTTATCGCCATCCGGTCTGCAACTCGTCTCTTTAAAGTTACACAGACACAGCAGTCTTTAACTGTCGCAAATATATAATAGTACAAGTGTACATAGTTTGTATTTGTAATGTCTATAAACTCATTTCACCTTATAGTCCCAGGTTTAGATATATCATATATCAGTTTGCGAAACTAGCGAGAATTAATTAATTGTAAGACGAACAAGGCCACGCAGTGGGTTAGTTAAAAATATACAACCTTGCTGTACTTATCTAATCCTTTACTTTCGGTTCTACTTTATAAATTTATAACTTACCTATAAGATGTATTCCCCTGGAAAACAGTACAAACGAGATCACCAGCAAACCCATGTGATTCGCCATAATCTATTTGGGTCTTGCTGGAACGCCAGTGAATGCACTAAAGGAGTAAAGACACAGCCGAGCAATAATTTAACTTTAAGGGTTCTGTTGATCTTATGTCTATGAAGACATTAATTATTAAAGAATAGTCTTGTTTCTCGGGAGAGGGGTGGTCACTATGGACACATATATGTAAATGTTTTGGACACTGTTTAACATATGTTTTGACATATGCTATACTGAGTCTGAGATGCTTTCGGTTCTGACTAATTGACAAAAGTATGAGCCTTATAAATGAAACTAAGATGGTTCGATAAACAGTTTATAAAGTAGTGAGAAAATGTTGGAAAAAGTTGGGAAAATAAAATCCATAAAATGAGCAATAGCACTAGTATAGGTTATACCATTACTCATTTGATGGCATTACTCACTGAACCTGACATCTTAAAAAGTCTATATATGACAAAATCATCAGTTAAAATACTACTCCGTGACTAATTAGCACTAAGTAATAAACTTTTTAATTTACGGCAAACACCAGATGTTCTCTATGAAGATAATTATGTTCTTTATATATAGACTTCATTATATTATAGACTACATAACATTGTTTATGTTTGCATGCAGTATGGGATAATTATTCTAATCGGCAGACTTTTAAACATAACACGCAATGTTCAATAATTCATGAGCAATGTCTTATGGCTATGCCTATGCCTATGGTTTTGCTTCGAACAACCCCATAGCCTCCGTAACGCAGACGATGTCTCGGGGGAGCGATCATGCATTGTCGCATTACGGAGGCTAAAACAGCGTGTGAAAATACTTCTCTATTCTCTAACGTTCGTGCGCGAAACGTCAGGATCATAACCTTGAAGCCACTCTTCAACTTAGTTGACAAATGTTGTTGCTATGGTTACAAATGCAAATATAACGACTGATGTGTAACGTATACGCGGCTCACTAGCTATAGGATTCCCCGATCAAAGCGCCGGGATTTTATAACACTTCTAGAGTGTGAAAATCCTGACCTTAACCCGGCTCACTTGCCCAAGAACTATACCTGAACTTGGAAATTTGACATGCATAACCACTATATGCACAATAAGAGGCAATATTCCTGGTACTATAGATATTGGTGAAGACACTGATGTCGTTGCTACAAAGTTGAGCCGCCAGTTTGCAATTTATAATTGCAATTTAATACTAACACACGCCGTATGCGCCTTGCAGTTTCATAATGCATGCAGTTTTTCCGTTTCCTTCTGTCCAATCCGGCAGTTTGAAAAGAAAAACGCACAGCCAAAATTCAAAACTCCGCAATAATTTGTTTAAAGAAAAACAGGAATAACTAGAAAAACCCAATTTAAACTTAATTAAAGATCAAAGTCGAAAATGAAATCGCGCGGACAAGTGTGTTTATCCAAGACGGGAAAATATGTCGCTCATATATTGTTTGGTTTGGAAAAATTATATATAGACTATAGGCTATATATATATAAACTATAGTTGTCTTCTTGTACGTTCGGAAAGAACATTACTATTATGCATAACAATTAAACCAACGGATTCTACTCAATGGAAAAAAGAACGTAGTTGAAACAAATTATCGGCACAACTATTCAGAATATTAAATTTGAAGTAGAGTCAAGCAACGGTCCATCAATGTTCTTAGCCTCTTATGACTTAGCCGATATACACTCAGTCAGCATGGTCTATAATCATGAATATAATTAAAAGAATGGATAGGAAACAGCTGATGCGAGCAAACGTGTCCTATTTGAAATTCGTGACGTCACGAGTAACAACGAATATAGCAAAATTTACTGCGTTTGCTTTCATTTTTCTATTGTTTTCACATTCAAGTAGCTCAATATTGAGATTCAAAATGGTATTTTTATGATCCATGCATGATTTAATTAACCTGTCAATGATCTAACAAGATCTATGAGACATTATATATGTTCACTGTACATGCAAGATACAAAATCAGCACTGATAGCTAAAGGACGTTTATATGTTACAAAATCGGATCGAGTCAATGAAAGGATTCACCTTTAGCATGAAAACATATAACAAAAAATATTGATTTTCAATTAGGTTGGTAGAAGACAGAATAGACCATCCTGGTATGGTCGTGAGTTTGAGCAAAGACAATGGTCAATATAACTCTGACATATATGGAACATTTTTTAAGAATAAATATATGCAGTAGTTATTATATATAGTCTTCTTCCTAGCTACTGTAGGTTTCCCAGGAGTGTCTGAATTTTTCCTTTGTAATTCCTAGCTTATCCCCCACCTTGTTTCCTTCTTCCCTCAGCTTACATATTCCATTGCTCTCTAATGATTTTTTGGCTTTGTTTCCCCATTGCAAAATATGATCTGTTCCCTTGTACCCAAGAAATCCCTGGGATACCCGCCCGCCTCACGATTGATAAAGTTTCAACAAGTGATTGATTTACGTGATGCATGCATGCATGCATGATAACCATTTTTGCTGTAAAAATGTTCACTCACCTTTATGTATAGTGCTTTAGTCTTATTGCGTTATATAAATTCAAAAGTTGTTTATGCAATGTCAATTATGTTAATTGTTTGAATCTATTAGTTTTCTGTGCGTGCGATCCATAGTTTTTCATACCTAATCAAGCGGGTACCTGTAATTTCACTACATAAGTTTGGCTGCCTCGCATTAACTGATGCGTTGCTAATTGCTGATCGATTTTTCGAGAAGCCAATTTTCTACTTCAGTTATGAGAATTACAACAAAATAGATTACGAACACAAATCTTTATTGAAGTTACATAACTAAGATATTACAAATTGTATTTAGTATTAAGACATGCATATACACGGACAAACAGAAACTTCGTATAAGATTGGACCAATTTGCATATATGTCTAAGAGTATACTCTCGACATTTTAACTAAATTATTTATCGCACCGCAGCTGCATGCAGACCAGAAACAGTGTATGTTTCTCGTATCACACATGCGCTTTACAGTCTTCTCTAGTTTTACACAGGGCCGTTGAAAGCGGCCTGGGGGCTAGCCCCCATTCTCCCCGCAATAATTTTCTCATCCTGCAGGATTGTATTTCTTTGCAACTTAGCCGTAATAGTTTGTTGTTACCTTGATATTGTGTATATATCAATAGGAACAAAACCAACACACACGCTTCCAACTCTTCCAGAAGGTACGTCACCTTGACTATACAGTATAGAGCCTCGTTCCCCCGGTTGCAGCGCTTGGCATATGATGATGATGATGATGATTTTATTGATCCATCTTTAGTTTAAAAATACAATGGATTTACAACAATGTCTATTAAAAGAGAAGAGCATAACTATTAGGGAGTTTAAGTTTCACGTTTCCGCACGGCAGGTTGGAACTTTCTTGGCAAAATTTTCGTTGAACGTTTTCGTTTCATATTTTCTTTCTTGTGTCAAAAGAATAATCATGCATTGCAGTTTTAAAACAGCAAGTTCATTTACTCTTTATTGCCTGATACCGTAAAATTTTTCTTTGCCTGGCGTTTGACGTTTGACGTATAACGCGAAGCTTAAATGTCACGTTTACACTGAAACACGAAAGCTGTTGAAAAATCCTTATAATTTCCGCTTAGTGTCGTCGTGCACAACAAGGTAAAAAACATAATATTCAAAGAAACGAATATTTTACTAAGAGTATAGGGGCAAAAAGAAAGGGGAAAAGGGGAGGTTAACAAAGTTTCAGATATGCCGCACCAGGTCGTACGTTGCACAACTATGTATGTTGGCGTATCATACACTCTAAAAACATTCTGGTTAAACATTCCTGCATGTTAAACTTCCTGACTAACCTGGGAATAACCCTATCAAAACTATCCTTTTCGAAAATAGTTTTACTCATGCTTCCTGTTGTATTATTTCTGTCAGTTATTTATTTCGCGAGCGTATACTGAATTTGCAAAGCATGAAGAGATGAGCGTTGCTGCAAGCCAAACTCCAGTCAACTCAAGAGCTATAACAGTCTAAATAATGTGAAATTTCGGTATATGTACTATAAGTTGAGCATCAGAATTTCAATTCTGGGACCATTTTTGTCAAAGTTTCAATTCTGGGACCATTTTTGCCAAAGCATGTACTGTAGATGCAAGATGAAAAATTGATGACGGTAACTCGGATCAAACAATGCTCGTTGTCTGAAGGATTTTCTGGTACAAAGGAGCTGTTAGTATTAATTCTATGTTATCGTACATTTCCCGATACTTAAATTGAAACAACTTGGCGTATGCATGCCAAGCATTTTTCGGCGTACAGTGGAATAGATAATAATCTGAAAAGTATTCTTATAAATTAAATTGCTGGGGCCGGTTCTACGAAGGCCAGATACACCAGATAGTGAATTTTTCAAACTTTCTGAATTGTCCGTACATTGATATAACTCGGATTAAACATTAATATTTGTGAATTAAAGTTTCTTTTTTATGAATTGTGAGGTCCGTATCCGTGCTTTCAAGGATTATCAAGTATATATTTTTACAATGATTAATTAAAAAGTCGCTATCCGGTGGACAGCGTTATCCAGTCTTCGTACAACCGGCGCCTGCAGTACTATTTCACAACTCTTTCATGTAAAAGATGGTTAAAACTGTTCCGGCCAATTCCGGCCCGGTATACAACGATAACGGAATTTCTGCAGGCCAAAACAATAAAATTTAAATTAAAGTTAAAACAGCAACCTTTATTAATTTACATTGTCAACATACGAAGCAAACTTTACACCTCATCCAATAACTTTAAGGCTGATGTCCGTTACGGCCGCTTTGCGCGCGCGCGGGCGAAGCGATCTCGTTTGGGCATGCGCAGTAGGTTTCTTGCACGTAAGAGTTTACGTCCGCTCTGGTGCTTGCGGATACGCGATTGAAGTTAAAATGTTTTTAACGTTCCGGCAGGCGAACTCGCGCAATCGTTAACTCGCGTGGTTGGAATAAATCAATGAGATTACTCAGATTTCCTTTCTTTGTAGATTTCTCGCATCCAGAATCCCTTTTTGTACTTTCCTCTTCTTAATATTCGCCTTAAAATAATCAACTTAAGAAGTCTTCTCCGATTAAGGGCCACCATATTGCTTTTGTTTTTCCCGCGCATTCCGCCAGTGGGAAATTATTGGAGAACGGGCGTACGTACGCGTGCAACACCCACGCGGCAAGCGGGCGTAATGGAAAACAGCCTTTACACAATAACTTTATACTGCATCGACTGGCAAATTAATATACATTGACTTGTCAATATATCTGGCTCCAAGTCTCCAACGATGCATACATACATAGGGTCGACGTCTGGAAATCTACAATCTAGTATAAAGTAATCCGTTTTGCCTTTTAAAAACACTTAAATTACAATTTATACATGCTCGCTACAAAATCGTTCAAAGACTGACTTTTCCTGAATAATATGCAATCCCTATACTCTTTCTGTTGATAAAATCGTGCATACTAGAAATATATAAAACATGAAAACAATAAAAGACAATGCTCAATGACTATATATATACCGTCCTATATGGCATTGTTAATAATTATACATCTACAATATTAAATAAATTAAACAACGAAATAAAGTTGGGAAATGAATGTTGTTTTAGTTGCAAGAATTCCACAATGCTTTACGTTTCCAACCGGGATTTTGAGACGAATAATGGAAGACACCACTTTTGGTTGCTGAAAGAAAATATAAAAATTAGATTGTCGTTGCCATTGATAACATTGTAGTACTAAAATATAATTACTGAATCTTATTTGAAGCAGAAATTTCAACACGCAAGAAAAGAACTATATAATTGACTTGGGGTTCGCATATAATTCCTTTGATTATTGTATATAGAATATCATTTTTATGGACAACACCTTTTAATTACTGAAATACGCTCTTTAAAAACGAAGATTAAAGATGCCAAATTAACGCTCAGTATAATTTTGTCTGGTGATATACAAGAGTTTTAATTATGTCATAATGCGTCCTAATGCTCCCTGCTTTGATACTTTACTCTGTCTAACGCCAGACGATTTCATTTGTCGAAGGAACGTGCTGAGCGTCAATGGGTTGTTAAGGCGAGGGTACATATATGAATTTTGACTGACGTCGTGGGCGAATTCTTTAAACCTTAATACGTTTTTTCTATATAGTGAACTGCCTATATATAGTCAAGACTATGCCCAAATAGAATCGACATAACGGTATAACCAATCAGATTCTGTATAATGCACAATATAACTTTTCGGAATAACTTTTAATTTATATTGTGAACTATCAGATGGTAAAATATTTTACCTCCCCACTTCTCTCCACTCGCGATGATCTTCTGTTTATTACTAGCTGGTACATCTTCATCAGCATCACTCTCTTCAATCTTAACAACTTCATGATCAGACAATGTGGACTGAGCTTGCTGCCATTGGTCACGTGATATAGAGTACCATTTACCCTTGTTTGGCACATACTTCATGTAACTCATCATGTTGTTACCAACACCATACACCATGTTATTGGCGTTGTCAATACCAATAATAGAAATGACCATCACGTCAACCGCTAAAAAGAACAAAATAAGTTTTAGTTATTTTAATTAAACAAACAAACGAGATGTACTGTATATTGTACATATCCTGCATGGTATGCAATTTACAGTATTGACACTATCGATCTTTATCTTTTTTATTTTGTACTTGACAACTTGTGAAGCAGAATTATAAGACGTACATCACAACAGGTTGAAACATGGTTCAAATATCTTAATTGATAATTAATAGATTGATAATGACTAAAGAGGGAGGAATTGAAGAAGATATGTGTTTGTGATCTTGCTCTCGAAGTGTGTCCATACCGGGCAACTCAAACGTTTGCTTGACTGCATGCGGTGGGAATCGAACCGCGACCTTTGGTTTGCTAGTCCATGCAATGCTACCAACTGAGCTACGAGGTCAAGTCGGTTCGAGTAGGTAATATTTCGGAACTGTCTAGTTCCTTCGACATCAGTACGTTTTTTCATGATCATGTATTTTCTATTTGTGGTGATATATGTTTATGATGTTGCACTCTGAGCGAGTCCAATGCTCTACCTCGTTGTTCAGTTGGTAGACCATCTAGCAAATCAAATGCGATTCCCACCGCGATCAAGCAAACTTTTAAACACACTTGCCCGGTGTGGACACACTTAGACAGCAACATCAAAAACATATATCTTCACCTGAGCGCGAGCACTTATAACACCACAAAGTGAACAAGATGTGATGCAAGAGAGGATCAAGAGCGGTTGGGAGAAGCAGAATGAGGCAAACTGTGTGGTATTGGAGAGGAAGATGTCGAAGAGATTCAAATTGAAGCTTCAAATTGACGATTCACGTCACAGTATACAGCGCAGTTATAATGTATACTTCTTATGGAGGTGAGAACAGCAGCTGGATAGGAGATAAATGAAAATTTGAAATGTCCTTAAAAGACAGACGAAGAAATGACAGAACAGCGGAAGCGGGCGTTGTTGCAGTATTAGAGAAGATAAGAGAAATAAGAATGCAATTGTTTGGATACTTTCGAGAAGAATGGAGGAAGATTCAGTCAAAGTAGCATATAGAGAGACATTCAGTAGCAGGATGACGAACTGTTGAGAGACAACGGATGAAACGGAGGGACAGTGTGCAAAACGATATGAGGGAACTAGCTAGGCCAGGATAAGAGAATGCCCAGGATGAAATTTATTAGTGTCATGAACATACAAGGGTGACCTAACCAGTCAATGATTATAGCGAACAAGACTATAGCATGACGACTGAATATATTATGGGGAATTAAATTTTAATTCTTGAATTTACTTTGAATAATTTGTGAAAAGCTTTAACTGGTGCATGCAACCAACTATACATAATAACAAGTTGGGACAATTTAATTTGAAGGAGCCACTCTAAAGGCGATGTTACAAGGGATAACTTGTATAACGACAACTGACTTGCAATGTAAATGAGGTTATACGAAACTTGATTGGTTCTGTAACAATTTGCATTGCGAGTTGTCGTTAAAAGTTGTCCTCTGTATAACATCACCTTAATGTATGGCTTCTTTTTGTCAGGCATTGATTCATAACACATGTTTATAAGTAAATTAAACTTACAGTGAATATCGATAGTAATGATGACGGAAATTGCAACACTATATAATTATATACTGTACCTCGCCAGGTTGCTCCTTTTGTGTTTGTCCAGAAGCAACTTGGTTTGTGTCTATAAAAGCAAAATTGAAAAAATGTACGTAGACGTAAAATGTACGTCAATGAAAGTTCCGTAAAAGCATACATAACCATCATAAACAATAAATATATTCTACTATTTCTGTTTTGTAATCCATGTATACGTACCTTTTTGATGAAACAGAACAAATGTAAATAGCAGAGGTGGAGTTGTTAATCAAGAAGCCTCGCTGGTAAAACTCTATTGATAAAAAAATTAAACCAGTTAGACCACATTTTAAAGTGAACTATTTATAATAATATATGTGCTACTAGTTTTAAAAGCTTAAAAATAGAAAAATTTAAAGTAACAAACAATCTATACATCAGAAAACAATGACGTATATCCACATATATAGTCCTTAATTGTTTCAAATATATAATGAGTATATATGATAAACAACAAAACCTTTTTAGATCTATAGTCGAAATTAAAACGTTATTTATCACGTTTTGAAATAAAAATCTTACCAACAACTGCATTTGGAGGTTTTTTAACAGGTTGCACTGTAAAGCAATGGAAAAACAAAACTATTGATAAGTTCATACATATAAACCCATGGCCATGATCAACGAGATATGCATGATAAAATATATAAACTTAAAAACGCATTAATAATTCATGAGGAAAATACAAAAGAAATGTTTGATTTTCTTGGCTTAGACAATGTTTATTTTTAAAATTACTTCGCCAATTAACTCTTATGATGGGTCGTGTTTTAAGCATGTTAAAACATTCGCATCCGATGTTTTATCTGATATACAAACTCTCGCCTTCGGCTCGAGTTTGTAGGCTATATCAGATGAAGATCGACTGCTCATGTTTTAACTATACAGGTAGTACTTAACTATCACTGCATTAACCCATTGGGTGCCAGTATGCACTCTCCCCTCCTTAACGAGTAAAATCGTCTGGCATTAGACAGAGTAAAATAATAAAGCAGAGGGCAATGCAACTTAATTGGTTAACTAGACACATGGGCAGATAGTCTGATTAACTCCATTGAATGTCAGCACTTTCCCCCTGACGAGTAAAATCTTCAGGCGTGAGACAGAGTAAAATAATAAAGTAAGGCGCAATGCAACTTATTGGGTTAAACTTCTCATTTTTTTGCTATTTCTGAGAATTTTCTAAGGCGTCAACTTTGATATCAAGGACCTTACCTGGAACTTTGAAATGAACAGACATTGGCACCAGGGGTTCATAGTAAATGTTCTGCTGTTTGTTCTGGTAGGTCAGGGCAACTGGAGTTACTGCATAATTCTTTCCACTTTTAGTCAGTGTTTTATCAGGATCCAATGCAACGGAGAAGGATACAGAAGGAGTTTCGCCAAAGTCTAGTTTGCTCAACTAAAATAATGCAATGTTATATTCTGTTGTATTCTTTATGATTGTTTATCCGTCAAAGAAGGTTCACGAAAATGTGATCGGAAAGAACATGCATAGGAATTAGGGATAGGACTAGGATTAAAGTTGGGGAATAGATTAGCGTAAGAATTAGGGATAGAATTATATTATAGTGTCGGGATGTAATGGTTATACTAACATAAAGATTAAGAATAGTTTGAGGTTACGGGATTCCTGTATTTCAGTATTGTAATTTTTTAGTATGGAAATTGCCCAAAATATAGTTTCTAGCCTTTTTAAAATTTTAGAAGTTTAGGTTTTATATATCCAGTGGCGTAACTGGCGGGTGTCCAGAGACTGGGGCCCCCACGCCTGGGGGGCTCCCGCAAAAATGACCACAAAATTTTTGCTAGTACATTGGAAAAATTGGCCTAAGCCTCAGTTATAGAGGGCCAGAAAATTTGCAACGGTGGCCCCCAAAAGCAGGAATTAGTGAAATTGTGAAATTTGGACCCCTTTTTTTAGTAGACATGGATGGAGAAAATTTTTGTGACTTTTTTTACTTGTCATAGTCCGGAAAATTTATTTGAACACATTTCTTAATGAATATGGTTCGAAAAACTTTTTTCCTCCTCCCCCCCCCTCCCAGCTCGCCAACATTTTTTTGGAAAAAAAATAGGGCCCCACTTAAAAATTAAACGGGGCCTCAGGAGTTTCCGTTACGCCACTGTATATATCCATATATGTTCTTATAATAATTGTTTCTTAAAGCATCTATTGTGTGTTGAGAGAGGAATAGGTATGTCCTCAAATTATTTTTTAAAAAATTGACCAAAATATTACCTTAAATGCGACGTTGTTTCCTGAATTAACTATCTGGAAACCTGAATTTTGGTTGGTATGCAAATACTTGGTGTAAACGGGCAACATCCACAGCACTTCCACATCAATAGCATGAGCACCAGAGTTTTCTTTGTAAGAAATTGTGAAGTTGTATTCCACAACAGAGCTGGTAGTAAAGAAATAAAGATCACAATTAATTTGGACATATATAGAAAGCGTAATTCAGACGTATATCCTGCACATTTATAGTACTGTGTAAATTGTGTACTTATAAAATAACTCTAATATTCGCTTTTTTAAATTGTGTACTTATAAAATAACTCTAATATTCGCTTTTTTAAATTGTGTACTTATAAAATAACTCTAATATTCGCTTTTATATGGTATTTCATGCAGTTTGAGTGGATCAATTCACGTTTTCATTCACTTTCAGCGCAGAATTTTCACTCGAAACGTGAACTGTAATTAAATTAGAAAACAAATTATAGAATACATTACCCTTGAACTAGGCTGTCACTGGCATTCATGGAGTGTGCTTCAATAAGTAATCTTGGTTGTCGAGTGAGAAGCACGTTTGCAATGAAGGTCATTTGACTGATCCAAATCATATGCTGGCTTCCTTTTACTCCGACACCAATCTTATAGTTAGAACGATTCACCACGTAATTATTGTCCTCCAATACAACTTTGAAGCTTAATGTTACTGTATTATCATCAGCAGAGGCAAGCGCAGAATCCGTAACAGCGTTGTTTTTAATCTGCCCAAGATCAATCTCAGCTCTATCATAGTATGTTTTATTGCTGCTGGTTGAATTGAAAGTTGCTTCAGAACTAGTAAAAGTTGGGGCTAAAATGTTTGAACCATAAGATTTATCTTTGAATGATTCATGAGGTACAAAACGCATGATGGCTGAGCTGTTTACGACAGGAAGGATGACCTAAATAATTCAAAAATTCATTTATAGCTATTCATTTATAGTTTATGTGAAATACTAAAGTTCTCATATGAAGTAACTCAAGTTTGTCTTCTAATCTTATATATATATAATCTTCGAATCTGATTCTATGACGGCGAAATTCTTCGCAAGAAAATGTTTCTGCGAAATATGGATGGTCACACATGAATGATTGTACGGAATTTTCTCACTTTTTTGCTTTCGTAGTGTGTATGTATATAACTGAACAGACCTCGACTATCTGGCAAAGCGAAACTCAGTGCGCAATGCTTTACTTGATAAAGATTCGGTAATTTAAAAATTAATAAAAAAGATTCGGTAAATTTCGGTTCGATCGCGGAAATGCAAGTAAAAATTAAAGAAAATATTAATGCATGTTTTCATGGTCATGGCTATATATGCTTGTTTACCAGTTAATTACATATAGAAATTTCGGTAAACTTGGTTTATACATGTTCAACTGAAAAGTATACGAATCGGCGATTTGTCTATATTATAGAGTACTCATGTTTCAGCTCTAACTGCTCTATTTTAAACGGTGAATTAGATATTTTAATTAGGTTCATATCATTAATTAAGCATTAACAAATGTTATATAATGTATATATTTTACTTACATATAATTCTCCCTCCAATGTCATTTTCCGGACTAAAATCTTGACAGTGATATCAACAAGCTGTCCAATATTCACAAGTCCAAAATTCACAAGTCTGTCAGGTGCGTTTGATGATAAATTAAAGGAAGGCACTCCTGCAAGGTAGCCTGGGTTGGGTTTGTATGTTCTGATTGGACGAACTTCACTTTTGCTTGTCTTGTACTGGATCTTTATCTCAACATTCAAATCAGCCAATGGTGTAACAGTGTTTTTGACTCTTGCTTTAATTGTACCAGTTAAATCATTCGCTACAGAAGCAAAATTTGAAATTTAGATCTAACTTGACTTAGCTAATCGTTTTATTTTGTAGAAACAGTGATTTTAGCTGAATGATGTAACTCCTGCATGGCGGTTGGTCGAACTAAGCCTAAAGCATTAAATTAAGTCGCTATTCCCACCGTTTATCTCGCTATATCTATACCGGATAAAATTTAAATACTTCAGAAACTGACATGTTGTGTAGGAAGCCCGTTTGGCGTCATCTGCATGCCGGTTAAATTTCGGCTCATTTCAGTGGATAAATTAACTTAATCATTTATCATCCTAACATCGCAAATATATAAAGAATTGGCACACTGTCAAGAAGCACATACTTGCGATATATGTTTCTTGCGAGTATATTTTTCTTTAATAGCAGTTTAATATCAGTCATGCTTTCGCTCGCTACTCTGCATGGTTTGCATAAATTAAAATGGTGTTAAATTTACACTCTGTTTCGTGTAAACGGTATAAGGTACACCTAAAAGGCGTTTTAATACACCATATTGGGTGTAAATATCATTTTGTGCACGCGTGTTCACTAACACAAAGTATAACATGCATATAGTGTATACAATTCACACTAAATCAGTGTCTCATGCAGGGGCTGATTAGTCCACCGGACTACCGGGCGATACCCCGATGGGCCCCTGCTTCTTGACAATTGTGGGTCCCTATAATTGAAATTTAGTAATAAATTACAACTAAATAATTCAGGTGAAAAATGGAAAAATATTTTCAAATTAAACAGAATATTACAGTTTATATAGCAAACTGTTTCACAGGGTCTCACCTCCGCCAGGTTGTGGACATAGTCGTAGATAAAAGCAGACGGCCGAGTATATATCATAGTTAATCTTTTAAATTGCGTTCAAGAAGTTTGTTTGATGACGTCACAAACGCGGCCTATATGCGCTATAGCCTGGTCCTATACTGATCGTGCTAATCCGCCCCTGTCAGAACTGCAATGAATTTGGTGTTGTGCTACGAAATTTCGGGTGTATAAAAAACAGAAAAAGAGCTAGTAGACTATATATAGTCAGTGGTGTCAAGTAACGAAGTAAATGTACTTCGTTATTGTACTTGAGTTCTATTTTTGAGAAGTCAGCATGTAACAAAGAAAACTTTCTTTGGAGTACTTCATTTTGTGGCGAAGTATTTCGTTACGTTCTAACTTTTGTTTAATTTTACGTGATTTATTCCAGATTTCTTATATCTTCAACGGGATCTGGAAAGTAGACCATGTCGTAAAATATTGTATATTATAGGTGGGTCTGGAAAGTAGACCATGCCGTGAAATATTGTATATTAGGTGCATGCACGCATATAATGCGTGTGTTGTTTTGTATGTTAATCCATTGGAGAAGTCCCCCCCCCCCCTACACGCCAAAGACAATAGTACTTTTACTTTTTACTTCAACTATTTTTTAAGGATAGTTTGTACTTTTTACTTAAGTACGTTTTGCCTCCAGTACGTTTTACTCTTACTCTTACTCTCCAGTACTTTCTACTCTTTAGTTGTTAATTACTTCTACTTTGACTCGAGTACAAATTGGAAGTAATTTAGGCACCACTGACTATAGTATATGATTGATGTACTTACCAAGTGCAAGCGTTCCACCACTGTGCGAATATGTCAAAACAGTTCTCCCAGCTTCGGTAGTTTCCTGTATCGAACCACCAGACAGACCAGTTTCAGCTACCCGTTCAAGAGATGACGAGAAATAGAATAAAACTTTCACGTCACTTGCATCTTCATATGAACCATTTTCTGCATGTTTGACATTCCAAGAAAATATTAGCAAATCGTTTATATAATAACGAGTAGGATTTGTTTTGTTCATGGCTTGGATTTCGGCGTGTAAGTATGGTTCATCCTAAATGGTAGGAAAATACGAAAATAAACATAATATGTGGAATTTGGGTACACTGAATTTAACAAATAATGAAATCTAGTCAACATCTGCAACACAACACAACACAACACAACACAACACAACACAGCACAATACAATACAATACAATACAATACAATACAATACAATACAATACAATACAATACAATACAATACAATACAAAAAACAAAACAATAATACATAGACCACATATTTCAGGTAATTCACCATCAAAATTCAAGTTGAATATGAAGGCATCATGGTCATCAGTATATAATTAAAGTAATAACATGCACAAGTTTTACTGACAAGTAACTGTTTAAACACAATTTCAGCGATGGTCATGGTGTCCAAGGAATCGTCTTGCATGTGACCAACATACTCTCGTGGTGATTATTCTTCATGATATTAGAATTATGCGATCTCCATTCATAAACATGATATTTCGTTCCCGTTTCAAGCCGGTTCCTCGAAACCCAATCCTATAAACTCTTGAGGTATACTATTTACAACATGAGCGGCCGGCGTGTTGTATCGGATATTCAAAAACTCATTAATAATTCATGAGGAAAACACTCAAAGAAAATCATAAGCGTGTCGTATCTTTATATGCGATAAAGATTTACCTTGATTTACATAAACTTTAACTTTCATTTTCTCGACTTACACAACATAATTTTTGAAAATTACTTCGCCAATGAACTTACTAGATCGATCGTTTTTTAAGCAATCTAAAACATTCGCAGTGCGTGTTTTATCAGACCTAAAGATACTCGGCTTTGCCTCGTACCTTTATATCTGATAAAACACTGCTGCTCATGATGTACTATTTAAAACATGAGCAGCAGTGTTTTATCAGATATAAAGATACGAGGCGAAGCCGAGTATCGTTAGGTCTCACAAAACACGCACTGGGAATGTTAGTTAAATTGCTTCAAAATTAAAACGATCGACCTGGTAAGTTCATTGGCGAAGTAATTTTCAAAAAATACGTTGTGTATGTCGAGAAAATCAACGTTAAAGTTTATATAAATCATGTGAAATCTCTATCACATATAAAGATACGATATGCTTATGATTCTTCTTTGTGTTTTCCTCATGAATTACTAATGAGTTTTTGAAATAGCACTACTAACTCGAGCCGAAGGCTGTGAATCAGCATCATTTTGTATCAGATATACAAATTCTTTAACGGTCATGATTTCTTTGGTGTTTTTTTCATGAATTATTAACGAGTTTCACAAGGAAAATAAGAGCACTAGCTGTTACCTTTAAGAATGTGATGGCATCTTGTCCTACCCAGAGCATTTCTTCACCTGAATTAGCACCTACACCAACCCAATGTGTTGAAGCATTTTCAAGCAAATGATGATCATTCACTTTGACTGAGAATGAAAGTTTTATTTCGTTGGAGTCTTGATCTGTATTCAGTACCTGCAAGATGATCATATAGAACACAGGAAGTTCATAGTTTCAGATTAATTATATTATTTTACCTTTATTACCTACCTATAACTTTCTACATAGGACCGCTAAACCTTACTCTACCTAAACCTAAACCCAATCATAACATTAACCTTAAACTAAAGTGAACCCTGAGTTTAAATTTTGAACTATCTTGAAAACTTCCTCTCGTCCATGCAGCCATTACCTCGCTGGTAGTGACGAAGTATTTGAGGTCAAGCGAAATTATAGTGTCTGTTCTATCTTTATTGGAAGCGAGCACTCTCTAACATTTCGTGAACCAAAACACACTAGCTTATGTGCATCCGTGCTAGGAGTCTCTGTATCACAGTGACAAAGACATCTGAGATGATCGAATACTCCGGAAAATTTTAAATTTGTCAAGCCTTCAATTCCGCAGTCTTATTTTTATAACTAACTCAATTGAATCCCTTCCTTTCCAATACAGTGATGCAGAGGATGGGACCGTTGGATCAGTGCGTTGCCTTCGTGCAACCCGTAATGTGATCTGACATGTTGCCTCATGCATTAAGGATATATAGGAGTTGTTTCGTCGCATAACAAAAATTATTCCCCTCAAATTAATAAGCGCAGACTTTAACAAGCGCCATACCGAAACACGAAGAAACTGCAAGATTTAAAGAGCGCTAAAACGAGAAATACTGTAGTTTTAAAGTCTTTTCTTGTGCAGAGCTATCATGTGATGCACTTAATTTGACAATATTTACCTTGATATTTCCGAAGTCCAAAACTACTCGACTGGTGATGTTATCGTCTGCTCCAGTGTATATCATTGGTGTTGGAGTTGGATACTCAGCCTTCACTGAGTCGCTGATTGGACCAAGTTGAACATTCTCGATACTCAGAAAACGAAAGTCGTTCACGATTGTTGTGATTTCAAAGACAAACGTAAAATTGAAGTATGGCAGAGTTATATTGACGTTGTAATCCAGTGTGGTTTCAACTTCTACAGCTGAAAAGTTGAAGAAAAAAGACAAGTTTAAAATAAACTGTTTTAGCAAATAGTCCACCCAAAATTCAAGATATGACCCCCACTAAGTCACTCCAAAACATGAAGCAATTATTCATGAAGCAATTATTCATGAAGCAATTATTTTGCAGAATTTTTGTTGCCTAAATTCTTCAATTCGGTGGCAAAAAGTGCAGGAAATGGCATTTCCGAGCCCCAATTTGTCAACTTTTCTGGGGGAGCATACCCCCGGCGTATTCATCAAGTTTGCCTGTCGTGTTTGTTGCACTCAGCTGAAAACTACGGTACCCAACTCAGCCCCCCATGATAAACCCCGTTCTGCTGCCACTGCAATTAGTAGCAGCAACAGTATTTGTAACAGAAACAGTATTGATAATAGTAACAGCTGGTATTTCAGAAATAGTACGATAACAGCAAAAAACCCAATATCGAACCGAGTAATAGTTTCTAACAGCAACACTAAGAAACACAGTAATACAAAAACTAATAGTATACTTGCATAGAACAACTGTTATAACATTAATTGTAAAATAACCGTAAGAGTATCAGACTAACTGTAATGATGAATGCTACAGTAATGAATCAGTTACAGTACATGGAAACAGTATAGCAATCACAGCAACAGCGAGTGCAACAGCAACAACGTTAGGATTAATAGAATCATCCTTGCACAGAGCAACGTTGCGTGGGCCTGCATGGAGATAACAGCAAGAGGTCCAACAATAACAGTTACAATACTATAGTAATAATCACAACTGCAGCAACAATTTTAACACATGCAGTAACAGCTTCAGTAACAGTATAGCCGTAACTGGTAATAGTTATAATAACAAATTACAAAAGTCACAGTAGCAGACTAACAGCAAAATAACACTAAAACTAAAGATAACAGCTAGTAATAATTACATGCAATAATATTAACACCATGCAGCACTATAACACTAATAACACTAAATTGTAACTTGTGCCTAAGATTCTAAGTATAGGTTATTTTGAAGCAACGAGGGGTATGTGATTTATTCACCGAGGCGCGCAGCGCCGAGGTGAATAAACACATATCCCCGAGGTGCCTCAAAATAACGTACTTATTTTTCACATTGCGAGGCCGCGTTAATGAGTCAGAATAGAAATAATTCTTAATGCCATATTGCCTTCGTTATGTTGTTTTTTCGCATTTTTTGTGCTGCAAAGATATTGCAGGTGAATATTAGAGGGGATTATTAAACGGAAATTGATCAGACGGGAATATTGAATATATTCCCCGATAAGAACAAAGGAAACCGAGGAAGGTGAAAAATAAGACTAATATTTTATATCTCACCTCCTTCAGTGGTACGTGCAAACTTGATTATAGGATAGGTTGTATAAAGTTCAGAGGAATATTTGGGACCGTACGTTACAGAACCTGACGTAGTCGCATTCATAGTAAAAGCAACTTGGAGTAGAGCCAATGGATCTAATGAAGCTCGAACACGTCCGTCGAATTTTATTTCCATATAACCACTAGCTTTCAATGTGCCCGCTGCAGCAAACTGCACTGTATCAGCATTAGGACGCTCGATAAGTCCTGGAGCACCACTTGCATTAGAAACATTCACTGAATATACGTCACCTAGCTCAAGATTTTCAGAACTCAGTTGTATGCGCATTGAGGTCAGCTGTTCAGGAGAAGCACTGCTATTTTGAACCAAATACAGGCGGTAGTTGATTGTACATCCAGCAGAAAAGAATGTTTCGTTTGTAACTGCTTCAAACGTTATTTCCAAAGAGTTATATGTCTAAAAAAATGGCAGCAATTTTAACGAACACACTAACATATTAATCAATGCGTTTCTTTTGGGTTTCTCTTCTTACAAATTAAAGTATTAACGACATATTTTTAAGTTAGAATCATTTCAAAAGTCACCGCCTTATAATGTGATCTCAAACTCATTCCTAAAATGTTCTTTTCAAGGGCGTCAATCTATCACAAAAAGTGTGTGTGGGGGACGGACTCGAAACTAGGAAGGTCCGGAGGTATCTTACCCGACCTTTTTTTCTAAATTTTGGTACACTGAAACGGCATTCCCAGCGTTTTGGAGGCACATATAAAGTTATATTACAATGTGCATGATCTTAAATCCATGTTTAACCATCTGAGAAATCCACTAAAAACCAACATGTCCTAGCCTGTGAACAGACGTTACTCTCGACGAAGCCTAACATGTCCTCACCCTTATTTTAATGCTAATAATTTATTAAATTGTTAACCATTTGCCTTATTTTGATAATAATCATCTATGCAAGGGAAACTCAGTTAAAACGAAATTATTCAGTTTAAGTATTTACAATTTTACATAATATATGCGATGTCAATATTTGCTCCCAGCGACTACAGAAAGATCATACGTTGTGCTTCTTCTTATTAAATGTCTTCCTTTCAATCACAATTTTTGATGAACAGCATACCATGCATTAGGTTTTTAGATAACCAAGAAACAAAATGTCATTAAACATGTCAAAAAGTGTGTGTGTGTGTGTGTGTGTAATTAGATATTCGTCAATTTCGTCCCCCCACTTGACGCCCATGGTTCTTTTTATGACAATAGTGCAATTTTTCAGGAGAAATATTTCATTCTAGTATTGTGAGATTGTCTCTTAGAAATGATTAAATTCTATTGTACAGGACTAGCCCGTTTGCAACGGGTGCCGGGCTGCCCACACATGATTTCCTGTAGATGGACATTTGGAACTGACAACGCTGCAAGGTTTATAGAAACACTGACCATACGCATGCTTGATTTAACTTACCGTTACACTTCTACGTGTACGGTGGTGAAGTGATCGACGTTCTCTCCCGCCATTGTCATAGTTTTGAACACTAGTTATAACAACAGTAGCCATTGCTTTGTTACTTTGATTCTCTTCAACCGTGTTTAGATCTCCTCCATTCTTTGCCAGGATGGTGAGAGAAATTGGATCATATTGACCATACAGCTTCCTGGTCAGACTTATAACCCCGCTGTCTGGGTTAATATAGAACATTCCATCTTCATTTCCCTTCTTGATAGAATACTTGACACGACCACAGGGACAGTTATGCTTATCAACACATGTCTCCAGATCATAATCAAATGCAGAAACTTTGAGGATTTCATCACCAACATTGGTATTTTCCTTTACCTCAGCAACATATAGTGATTGTTTAAATTCTGGCTGAGTGTTATCTATAAAGATTGCAAATTCAAACTGTTTTTATGTGATAGTTTTATTGCATATTTCAGTTCCTAAGATATTTAAATCATTATAATTCGTAACCTATAAGCTAAAAATAAATGACTAAACACAACACCACAAAATTATTCTAGCAAACTTGGTTTTCCTATACAGATATTGTACATTTGGGAATTTTTTATCTCCTTATTTATTCAATATTATCTCATAAATAGTAATACACAAAAATCAGTGGAGGCTTTCGGTAATTCTGATTTTCACTAAATTCCGAAAATTGAAAACAGAATTTTGTGAAACTTTCAGGATTTCACTTTTCTGCTCCGGTTGATTAGCGCGAATTTCCTACCTTTTTTCATGATATGAAATATTTTGCCACAACTGAAAACATACCTTTTTAGACTAAAGTACCCAAGTATTTTTAACCTTCCCATCACATGCTCGCTGTCTCAATATTCCCACCTTTTTTACGTTGTCAAGTTTTTCATGAAAAGTAAAAATCGCAAATTTCCCATGACCTTTTTCGTGCTTACCACTTTGTTCACAAAACCCGCGAAAAAGTTACCTTTTTGAAATTGAACCATTTGACGCCACACACACTGACCTTACCCAGAGTGCCCCTCCCATCAAGTGATCAGACGTTTGCAAATTGATTGGTTAGTAATTTATAGAAAAGTTTTGCGCTAAAATTGGTTGTTGTGTTGCTGTTCTGCGTAAATAACGGCACAGTTTAAAACAATATGAAGTACTTAGAAAAAAATATTGAGCAAATACAACAGTGGGTTAAACAAAACTATACTCATCGTACGATAAGTAATATTTTAAAGGAGAATTTCCCAGAGGTCACAAGGGATTTTTCAGTAAATGATTTCTTCCAACCACGAATTATTTTATCGTTGGCTCTGAATCTTGGCCTTTCTATAAGTGTTGTCGTTGCTGAAGATCGACGATCAGTGATGCCCGTGCAGACGAGGATGAAGGTTGATAGGAAATAGGGCCGAGTTTATGGCCGAGATAAGCCGATGTTAGCTGTATGCTTGTATGGGATTGTTGGGTTAGGTACAGTAGCTGTTGTTATGAGCTCTCCGTTGTTGTTACGGGCTCTCCATATAAATCTTTCAAAGAATCTATTTTCCATGGGGAGAATTATTTCTCCTTCAGAAATGAGATATACTCCTTCATTTAGGGTTGGTCGATATTTCGATATTTTGATTTATCGCGATATTTTCAATCGCGATTATCGTATCGAAGGTAGAAACTTGAGGGACGATATATCGAAATTATCGTCATGCTCAATGACCATCATGATATTGCTTCGCATGTGCATATAGCTGTTATAAAATCGTAAAAAAATCATTCAATTCCTGAAAATATAGTTTTTAAAAGAATTAAAACTATTTCCTGAATTAAATACGAATTTAATACGATACAAAAGCTAACTGATATTTATATATTAATCTGCTGATTGCCTGCGCCGTGTGCCCACGGCATTTGTGCCAGCGGAGACACAGTAGACACTGCATGGACAGTTCTGGTTTATGGACTAAAAAAGCCTTCATATTACCTTATATATAAGCTTACTATGCTTTGATACTAATTAAAATTGAAAAAAAGGGGTCATTGTTTTTGTTGCATTTATCGCGATATTATCGAATATCGTGATAATTTCCTTGACAATAATCGTGAGATGATTTTTTTAATATCGCCCAACCCTACCTTCATTAACACTAAGGGGCACTCTGGGTAAGGTCAGTGTGTGTGGCGTATTAATTCTGGCGTTAAAGGGTTCAATTTCAAAAAAGGTAACTTTTTCGCGGGTTTTGTTAACGAAGTGGTAAACGCAAAAAAGGTGGGAAATTTGCGATTTCCACTTTTCATGAAAAACTAGACAACGTCAAAAAAGGTGGGAATATTGAGACAGCGGGCATGTGATGAAAAAATTAAATTGTGGGTATTTATTTCTGAAAAGGTATGTTTTCTCACGTTGTGGCAAAATATTTTAGAACTTGAAAAAAGGAGGGAAATTCGCGCCAATCAACTGCAGCAGAAGAGTGAAATCCTGAAAGTTCTACAAAATTCTGTTTTCAATTTTTAGAATTTAGTCAAAATCAAAATTGCCGAAAGTCACCACTGATTACAAATCATATAGATAAGTTGATCAGTAAAGTAGTACATGTATAAACACAGACAAGATGATCAACATAGTAATAGTACATGAAGTTGACCAATATTGTAATAGTACATGAAAGTTAATCAATATACATGTAAACATAAACAAGAGAACCAATCAGGGGTCGAAACTACTGGGGTGGGGTGGGGGGGGGATGGAATGTAACACCCCAAAGTAAAGTAAAAAAAGGGGGCCCAACTTGCCCAGAGGGGCCCCCGGAATGCTGGAATTGCGGAATGTGTTAAATATTAAGGAATGTTCTGAAAAATTGAGGTCGAAAAAGTCTGAAAAAGTATTTTTAAGCCCCCATTATCTGAAACTAGTGTTTGGAAATTTTTGGGACGTGTTCCTTACCGAAAAAAACGTAACCCCTTTTTGAGGGGGGCCCTGGAGAGGACAGGTGTCCAAATTTTTAATCACCCCTATACATGCAAGCATCATCTCAGATAAGTTGATCAAAAAAGTTGTACGTGAATTGAAAACATAGGTAAGTTCATCAATATAGTTGCACATGCATGAAAACATAGATATAAAGTTAATCACTATATATAATAGTACATGGAAACATGCATATAGATTTTAATGTAGTGAAGATTGTCGATGGCATTCGTTGTTTTACTATATATACTTCAATGTAAATCTATCATTGTTATACCAGTTGTTATCAAGACATTCAAAGAAGTGAAAAATTTTTAACTTACGGTATTTTGAGCACGTTTCACCAGTCCAACAATCACGACAAATACATCCCTTTTGTTTATCACAAGCACCATGATGACAGTTGATGTGTTTCTCTCTAAAGACAACAGATCGTTATGATTATTTAGATATATCGACAGCTCATTTAAACTTAAAACTATATAACACCTCATTCTGTTCACTTCCTAAAGGATTTTCTAAACGAACCACAACTATACTTACTTGCTGCAAAATACGTCGCATTTATCACAAACTGGAAATTCCTTTTCGTCTTGGGAAAACATGGCTAAAAATCGTCTATAAAGACTTGAAACACTGACTCCATTTTCACTGACATAACGACAGTTGCAATCTTGAATGCCACAAATGTACTTATGTTCAAATTTACATTCTTTACCAGCTGTAAGGGACAAAAAGTTTTTTTATTAGACACTGCAGATCTTAAAACACCGTGCATGGAGTTAGAGAAATGTGAATTTTATATTTGTAATGAAAGGTATACTGAGTAATGGGGTGGAAGAGCAAGTTTTTCTTGACAAGTTTTTCGACGAGTTTACTTGCTCGTGTATACAATGGCACAGTGGTCAGAACAACCATCTTTCACCTCCGAGTTCGCGGGTTCGATTGTCGCTATGGATTCATGTGAAAAGAGTCAGTCAACGCTCTGTCGAAAGTCGTGGGTTTTCTCCGGGTGCTATAATCACGAAGAGACATTATGTCCCAATTACAGCCTAAACCTCATGTCAATTTAGTTAAAAAGTACCTGAAGCTTCCGGAATAATCAACATGCGTAAAAATGAATATAATTAAACAAAATTTGAAAATTAAAACCTCAAAGACAAAGGACGAAGGCACCTCCTTATATATTGACGATTTATCTCAAATGACTCATCGGATAGCAGAAAAGAAAAAAATATTTTCCTACATGTACGCCAAAAAGTAAGTTTATGGACGTTTATCTGGAAACTGCAGTGTTTAGAGGAAAATGGTGAAAAACTTTGTGTAACATGATTAATAATTAACCGCATGTCTTACAGTGAAATAATGACACGACGTTTCAAGTCTATTCACACTAAGCCGTTAGAGTTTCAATACGCTTTCGGAAAACAGGCTCAAATAGTTAAAAAAGAATAATAAAATATATTTTAAAAAATACTAAAGTGGAGCGAAATGGTATACCGCTGTTCACACTACGCCATCAAGCGTTCCGTTTTCATCTCGTTTCGTTTAGAAACTGCATGCAGTGCTCAAATTGTTAACAGCAAAAGTGACGTTTTCAAATTGTGACTTCAAACACCGGCGTTAAATTGTGTGAAAGTAGTATATGTCCGTCACACACATGCAAAAAAGCATTAATTGACAGTATTGTAGGCTACGTTAAAAATTTTCCACATTCTTTAAGCACTCGAATGCAAAAAATTTTTGACATTCTTTAAGTGCCCGAAGGCAAAGCTAGTCAGCAGGAGCCAGCAGGTTGATACAGGTGTTTTTGCGAGTATTTTTGTTATGTCGGACCTATAACGTATTGGCAACCTTTTGCAACAACCTTTCTTGGACTGTTTTTCATTCACTTATAAGTACGTTATATATATACATGAAAATACATTTCGATTAATGTTTGAATCACCACCATAGGTATCATAAGAGTAATTTTTATTTTTTATGCTCATGCAGAATGCACGTCATTTCCAGGGCTCTAATTTCAAATGTTGGCTTCAATAATGATTTTTGATTTGGTACCCTCAGTTTTTATATCACATTCTTTAATCCCGTCCTTATATAAACGTAATTTGGTTTCATACCTCACTCAAAAGGACTCCACCCCACCACTACACATATGCCACTCCATAAAACCGGAATAACCGGTTTCATGGCATTCAGCAATTTGGGCACCCTATAGCTAGACATTTTAACGGCCAGCAATTCGGAAACAAATATAGTCAATTAGTCATCAATATTCGAAAAGGCTGTATTCAGTAAGAGGTTATAATTATAATATTGTTATAAGGCGCCAACCATTTCATTTTTAATTATTTTGAAGGCCTTGGAATATTGGGGGAGTTTATATTTAGGGGATAAACTTATATATGTCACATAATTTAGACATTTAGTATTTTGTTTTTCAAATGACTGCATATGGAAGCAACATGACCAATTCATGCATGGATCACAGGATCAGTACATTCAGGCACGCAATGCGAAATAAGAATGTTCATGTTTATAAAATATTTGCTGTATTTATTTCAGTATAAAAACCCGCCATAGATGTTTGGGAAAACTATTATTTTACGAGATAATTAGGACTAAGCAAAATTAACAATTTGTTTGATGAATCTCTCGGCACTGCTAACGCATGCAATTACGAATATCATGCATGCATCATGAATATATATATATATATATATATATATATATATATATATATATATATATATATATATATATATAGCTTAAGATTTTGGTTTATGAAACACAAACAGTGCTCAATACCATATAGATATATATATATATATATATCAGCAACATCAAGAAATAACCAAATCGCAAAATTTTGTTCTTGGATCTTGTTCAACGACATATACGTTAACTTACGTTCGCCAAATTGTACAACATTTCTGTAGATCAAATGACCTTCTTGACGTAGTCGATATTTCTCACGAAGGACTCTGGGGACGAGGCTGCATGGACAGCATGGCATGGTAGTCGATGTCATTACATATATATATATATATATATATATATATATATATATATATATATATATATATATATATATATATATATATATATATATATATATATATAGTTTTTCGTTTTACCTCAAAAAACCAAAACAGTCTGTTTCATCCGTATAGGAATCATCAGGTGGTGAATAATTTCGAAATTGTAGGTTGCTTTTATGCTATCGAAAGAATGTGTGGAATGCGTGTAGGCGAAACAATGCTTAGGTGAAACAATGCATGCTTGGGTCATTAGGTTTTGTTAATGACCTTGTTTACTCGAAACCGGTTTTTGTGACGACATTTGCCGAAAATTTCGCTTCTTTTATTGAGTAAATTGTCTTTGTTTATGTCTTTCAAAATGCAAAATTTTTCTTCCAAACATAAAT